GACGGCGATGGTTGGTGAATTTAGGAATTATGATTTAGGGTTTATTTTTAGGTATTTTTGAGAATTTAGGGTTTTGGTGAGGGTTTTGGGAATTTTGAGTATTTTAAAGAAATTTTAGGATTTTTTTAGAAAACTAATATTATTTATATCAACAAAATGGCATCGTTTTAAGCTTCTTTAGGAATTCATGTTAGTAACGTCACGATGTAAATCCGTCATGTCATCATGTCGTTAAATCATTATCTGTGAAGTGATATAATTACACTTAAAAGTAAATGTTAATATTAAAATTGATAAAATTAAAATATCGATGTTATAAACGATACAAAGCTCAAAGTTCAGTGGTATGTGAAGTAGTTTGCGCTTATTATTATAAAATTATATTTAATCTATAATAAATTTATTTTTTCATTGAATATTTAAGATTATTTTTATGTAATTATCGAACACCCAGTTTTTTTCATAGAAAAATATTAATGTAATAAACCAACTAAAATCATAATTAGATGCGAAGCATAAATCTACAAGATTCCAAACTCTCGTCTTCAAGTACCCAAAATATTTCATCATCACTGTAAAATTTACCTATTGAATTCTTTCTTCAATTGTGTTTCCATGGAGATTTTATCACCCTTTCAAACCCCAGCTTTACCTTCATTTTTCTTGCTGTTTCTCTTCATTTATCTCTTCGCTTACTTCCGGATTTTCTACCATTGGGATCCCAAGCACCGAGCCGAAGCTTCAAGCTGTTTCATCTCATTAGCACACGGAACCCCAGCTGTTTTCATGGCGATTCACGCACTAACAAGCACCAATCCCCGAGTTTCGCCTCCCTAAATCCCCTTTCCCACAACACCATCCTCGAATTCAGCATCTCTTACTTCTTAGTCGACCTTCTCCATTACTTGATCTTTTTCCCCAACGACACTCTCTTCATCCTCCACCATTTAGCGACCCTTTACGTGTTTATCACCTGTCGTTTCATCGTCCACCGTGGGTCGTTCGCCCTTCTCGCGCTTTTGATCCTAGCTGAAGTCACCAGCCTCTGTCAAAACGTATGGACTATCTCCGGATTCCGGAGAGCTGATCTGCCCGTTGCAGGTAAGGTGTTCGACGTTTTGTCGCTTCCGTTCTATGCCTTTTATACCGTTGTTAGGGGAATCATGGGACCTTTCTTTGTGTATAAAATGGGGGTGTTTTATATGAAGGATGAGAATTCGATCCCGTTGTGGGCTTGGGTTTCTTGGATGATTGTAATTGTGACTGCAATCTTGGTTAGCATAGTTTGGGTCTTTGATCATTGGATGACTTGGTTTAGAAGAAGGAACTATCAAGCCATGAAGAAAGTAGCCTAGAATTCTGAGGTGCCTTCAGCTTTAGGAACAGTAGATTAATGGGGGATTATAGGCAGGGATGGACGTAGGTGGGTCGGAGTGGGGCGATCCCTGGTATAAAATTTTGCGTCTGTTTATTATTATAAGTAGATTACGAGGTTACCGGGTAATTTAATTAATTCAAATTTGTAGCACTTTTACATTGAAATTTCATATGCTTTTAATGCATACATATAGTTAGAATATTCGAATTCGCTTTAAGTGCAATTATCTATTAAATGTTATTCTTTTTTTAAAAAAATTTGTAATTATTTTATATTATTAAAAAAGTTGTCGATAAAAAATATCATCTTATCAATCTTTTTCAATCTTGTTATGTAATTGAATTGATACTCTTCCCAAATGATGTGGTGTTTCTATGCTACTTTTAAAGATGAGAACTTATAAAATATTTTATAATAAATATTAATTTGCTAAATTTGAAATTATAAGGGATATACAAGATTTCTTTTATTATAATTATCGTGAAAAACTATTAAAGATATTGTTAAAAAATTTTGTTTATAATTTTCTATATCGTTTTCTCGAGAATCAAATAAAATTTATTTTTCCTTTAAACCTAAATATTGTTAGGATACAAACATTATACATAAACAGACTTGAATGCCATTTATGTGTGAGCTCTCTATATTTTAAGATCCCATGATAGATTTACTTGAAATTGATCTATATACAAAATTGACAAATGCATGATAGGGAATTGTTCCCTTTTGCTTTCAATGGGGAATATGATTCTCATGTGGTGGGCCAATGCTAATGTCTTTGCATTAAGTCCATTGGACTTATCAAGATGCCTTCCTCTCCTCTTTAATCTTATTACAAAATTTTGAAGGATGATAATGAATGGTACGGATTCGAATATTTTTGTTTTTTTATTCGAATAATTATGTTTCAATCATCCAAATAGACTTGGTTTAGATCAGGTAGACTTTCCCAACCATGCGGCAGTGTCTCGAAGTGTGGGCACTCAAAGATGGTTAGCTCTTGAAGAGCAGGCATCACTCCTTTGTTGATCGCAATTTCTTTCAATCCTAAGCATGCCCCAATTCCTAAAACCTTAAGCTTTTGGAATCCTTCAAGGAATTCTAATTGCTCTCCCTCATATCCATTAAACACTCTAGTTGTACAAGAGTAGGCGATGCATGGATGTGAGGCAGAAAATCATCCCTCAATCTACACCAGCGTAGAGACAGTTGTTTGAGGTTGTCGAGCGAGTTAAACCAGTGCGGTACCTTGTCCAATTTCCCAGTTATTGAAAGTTTCTCAAGAGCAGGGGGAGCTGATACAAGAGCATCCATCTTCAGTTGCTCATCTTTATTACATGATTTCACCCATAAGCATCGAAGGTGTATCATTTTGCAATGGCAAAGCACAAATTTTTCTCATCGGTTTCCCTTACATTAGCAACGTCAAGCCTTCTCAATTGCGTCATTCTGCTGAGTTGTTTGATGAAATCGCCTCTTGCTTAGGATGGAACTACTAGGCCAAACCAATAGCCAAAGTCCCCTGGGTATACATTGTAGCCATAAGCAATTAGATACCGAAGATTTTTCAGCTTCACAATTCCTGCAGGAAGCTCTTTGATTTGAGTCTCCTTCATAACTAGAGACTGTAAATTGTAAAGCTTCCCGATGGATTTCGGAAGCTCTTTCACTTGAGTCTTGTCAGGTTAATGTATCTCAGATTGAATAAATTCACCAATTCATCCGGAAGTTCCTTGATCGGAGTGTTGTCCAAATCCAATACTCCCATCAATTTAAAGCCAGAGGGCAGTCTATTGAAGGAAGATTTAGAGGTTTCATCGACAGCCAAAACAAACAATGAACGAACCCGAGATAGTGCAATCCCACTTGCAGCTTTCATCTCATTCCCCTTTGCTTCAATCGACCAACGTCGGATTCCGTCGTCTTCCACTTCTTCTTTCCCGTCTGATTTGGCAACAAACTTTATGGATTTTGATATGGAAACAGCAAACTCCCGCAAAATGTCGTGCATCTCAACGCTCTGGGCCTCCCAGATCCATTCCTCCTCTCAACTTGAAGCAAGCCCCTGCAGATCAACTCGGATAGGTATCTCTCTGCAACAACTTCTGGATGTGTTTGTTTTGACCGTTCAACAAAACCTTCTGCCATCCAAAGTCTAATTAGCCTTTTCCGTTGAATCACATAATCTTCTGGGAATATGCAACAATATAAGAAACACTGCTTCAGTGTGTAAGACAAATCATGGTAACTAAGCAGTGAAATATATTTGAGCCTTTCAAAATATGTATCATTTTCACTTAGCTCCCGATTTAAGTTGTTATAGACTCCATCCCACTCGGCAACCGAGTTCTTGGAAGCCATCAAACCGCCCAAGGCCACAATAGCTAATGGCAAGCCTTGACATTTTGCAACCAGATTTCTTGCTGAAGGTTCAAGATATGGTGGGCGTATTCCACCTTTGCCAACAAAAGCTTTCTTGCAAAAAAGGATCATACTCTCTTCGGACGTTAATTGTTTATGCCGAAAGATTGCTTTACAACTCCAAATTCAAATGAAGCAACGGCTTCCTTCCTTGTAGTGTGCAGATTTGGCTTCCCTTCTTATTGTCGGAAAGTGCTAAGCTGATATCTTGCCATAAATTGGTGCTCTAAACATCATCGATCACAATAAGATATCTCATTGACTGCAAGAAGTTCACCAGTGCTTCCACCGTATCTCGGCAGGTCACAGAGTCGAGATTGACCACTGGATCGATTTTATATTTTATTACACAAAGATTTGAACTTGAGATCTTCAAGCTACTTACCACGTGACTCAACGTTGGTAACACATTCTTTTTATGAAATAAACATATCCTCTATTAATAATAAATAAAAATTAAGACATCATTGATGTTAAAATTGACACATGTTAGTACACTTATGGCACACCTTTCCTTAATTGATTTTTCAATAACTTAGAAGGGTTTTCCACTAAAATATTTTTTTAGATATTGGGACTTGAAATAGTTGATACACATATAAATATTAAAATCAACTTGATCCGAATTGAAAATTGACTATTTTGTAATGACCATTTTGTAATTGAATCAAAATCGTAATGGTTATTTTGTAACATCTAAAACATAAGTGGCCAGAAAGATCAATTTTACTTAGTTTAGTGACTATTTGTGCATTTTACCATTTTTAATGATTATTTTGTAATATTTAAACATTTAGTTACTAAAATGATCATTTGAGAATAGTTCAGTGAACTATGGTGTAATTTACCCAGAAAGACAAAAATCTTCTTCTTTTTCTCTCCTAACGACGTCGTTACCAGACACCGGTTGTTGATCTTTCTGATTCCTGTTTCGGATTTGAACTTTTGACCAGGACGAAAGAGCTAATCATAGTCAACAAAGAACCACGAGCAAACCAAAATGGAATTCTCTTGAAATTGCCTTCTCTGTAAGTGTTTCAGCAGCCCCCTTTTTCTCTTTAATTTCTCAAATTTGAAATTTTGAATTTTTTAACTTTCCTTCGTGGAAGAACAGAGAAACTAGTGCTGATCTTTTCTTTTTAGTGAGTTTAAATTTCTGAGTATTGCTGTTTTCAGTCCCTGTAGTTTGAATTCTTTGCAATCTATACTGTTTTAGACAAAGTCGTTGGGTTGATTTACAGTGAGGAGGTTGAAGCTGAAGAGGGGTTTATGTTTTGGATGTTTAAGATTCGAAAGTTTTCGAATTTCGATTAGTTCTCTTGTTTTAGCAGTTTGATTTTGGTTTCACTGTAGGTATGATATTTTTAAGTTATCCTTATGATTTATGATTTTCGGGTTTTACTTATGGCTTATATGTAATGTAGATTCGGTTATCGATGAATTGCTGATTAGTGATAAGAATTTTTAGGTGTTCGACATAAATTCTCAGAATCTGCATTGCGGAATTAAGGGGAATGAACCATGCTCAAACAGATTCTAAGTAAGCTTCCTCGGAAATCGTCGAAGTCAGGTGATCATCGTGAACACGGTGGACACCGTAGTACTTATTCTAGTGTTTCGGGTGGTGGCTTGAGGGGCAGCGATTTAGGAACCGGCAAGTCTGGTAATTCGAGTGTTTCGTCGTTCGCTGTACCTAATTCTATACCAGATGTTGGATGGAAAGGTGTGGATTTGAAGCCAAATGGGAATCATATATTCTCCTCTTTTGAAGCATTGCCTGCTTTCAAATATGTTCCGGCTTCTGAGAAGCAGAACTTGTTCATAAAGAAGCTTAACTTGTGTTGTGTCGTATTTGATTTCACCGATCCCACCAAGAACCTCAAAGAAAAGGAGATCAAGCGGCAAATATTGTTAGAGCTTGTCGACTATGTGACTTCTGCGAATGGGAAATTTCCGGATGCTGTGCTGCAAGAAATTGTTAAAATGGTATCAGCAAACTTGTTTAGGAACCTTAATCCGCAACCACGAGAGAATAAAGTCATAGAAGGCCTGGATTTGGAAGAGGAGGAACCTTCGATGGATCTGGCTTGGCCACACTTGCAAATTGTATACGAGTTTCTTTTGAGGTTTATATCCTCACCTGAGACCGATGCAAAATTGGCCAAAAGATATGTCGATCAATCCTTCATCATGAAATTGCTTGACTTGCTCGACTCTGAAGATCCTAGAGAAAGGGAATATTTGAAAACAATTCTTCATCGCATCTACGGGAAATTCATGGCGCATCGACCGTTCATTAGGAAAGCTATAAACAATGTTTTTTTCCGTTTTATTTTCGAGACCGAGAAACACAATGGGATTGCTGAACTTCTGGAAATTTTGGGCAGCATTATTAACGGGTTTGCACTTCCACTGAAAGAAGAGCATAAAGTGTTCCTTGTTCGGGTTTTAATTCCTTTGCATAAACCGAAATGCTTAGCAATGTATCACCAACAGTTATCTTACTGCATTACACAGTTTGTAGAGAAAGACTGCAAGCTTGCTGATACCGTCATTAGGGGGTTATTAAAGTACTGGCCCATCACAAATAGTTCAAAGGAAGTCATGTTCCTAAATGAATTAGAGGAAGTTTTAGAAGCAACTCAGCCACCCGAGTTTCAGCGCTGCATGGTGCCGTTATTTCACCAAATTGCTCGATGTTTGAACAGTCTGCACTTTCAGGTGAGAAACTTTGAAAGTTATGTTCTGCTTTGCCTTAATTTCATTATTTCTTATTCTGTTTTATTGCTGTCTACATCATATCTTTGACCTGGAGACCTTAGTGTCTTTACCCAATATTGAATACATCATATCCTGTACCCATGTCTGAACATGTATAATGCAAGGATAAGTAAAGCAAATGCTACAGGAAGACATGTATGTACCGATTGATATTGCGATTAGTTCATGTTAAGCATTATTTTGATTTGTCTGTTTGGTGTCGTTCCGTTCGGTGTCAACTTTTTATTGTCGAATGTACTGTTTAGATTAGAAGTTAGAACCTAGTTGTATAGTCAGGAAATGCTTGAGCACTTTCCAAAAGTGTATTAGTCTCTATAAGATGTTATTTTGAATGCTTTTCTCATGAGGTTCCACTGGTGAAATTAACAAATAAACTCGGTGTTAAAAAATGGAATTGTAGTGTGGTTCGGGATTCTGCTGCTTCTGCTCTCGAGTGTGTCCCGTGGCCTTATTGGCAAATTGGAATAGCTCAGCAAGGTTAATTATCTAAAACAAAAACTCCTTTTTCTTCAGAACATATTTTGTACTTGGGAAGTATTTTTAGTCAAACTCTTATTTTAATGATGATTACTGCAATAGAGGGTATGTTACTTGGACTTCGGTTGTTCAGTTTGAGTGTCAGAAACGAGTATGTGTCCTACGTGAGTTTCTTTTTTGTTTTCTAAGTTTTTTCATGCTTTTAGAGGATCCTTGGAGAGTAATCTCTATACCCATGTCTGAATAGGCATCAGACACGGGCATCGATCGCTGATTCTTCAAGAAAAATGGGTTGAAGCAACCTAGAGGTCAAGTGTTAGAGCTACGGGCATCTTCTAAAATTTTATTATCTGAATTCATTAACATCTCATTAGTAATTTGGTTTGCATCTTCTTTCATGTGAGAATCCCTTAACTTTGTTGATCCGACTCTTCGTTTGCTTGAAGTATCTTAGTTCGACACATATTTAGACAAGTGTATCCGGATATGACCCTCCCAAGACTTCCCAAATACTTGGAAATACTTTGAAAAATGAACGTATCCGTATTCAGCAGTCATACCTAAGCTCGTGAAACAGGCTTAAAACAACCGGAATAAAGTTGTTGCTAATAACTCCTATGTTACTCGGACTTGCGTGTAAGTGTCAGACATGGGTATGTTAAGTTTTCTTCATAGGTTTCATGTATTTAGAGAGGTTCCTTGAAAGATCTAGCGACAAATCCCAGATTCTATTTCTATTTTGTGATATCGTATATATATTTTTTTCATTTCATTTATGAATTCATTTTTATTTTGGTGATATTGTGGTACCTGAAGAAAGGTTCCACCTATATCGTCCGGATTCTTTATTCCAACGCATATTCAGAAATGGGTGTAGGGATATGATCTTCCCAGGACCCATGTCCGGTACTTGCATTTGAGTCCGAGTAGGGGTTCTGCCAATTTGATCTTACATGGAACATATAATTTTTGCCTTGCCGTATGCAACTGTTGATTTTCGTCTATTTTTTCCACTTCTCAGGTTGCCGAGCGAGCTTTATTTTTGTGGAACAACAATCACATCGAGAACTTAATCATTCAAAACCGCAAAGTAATACTGCCGATTATTTTACCAGCACTGGAGAAAAATGCTAGGAATCACTGGAATCAAGCTGTACATAGCTTGACTCAAAACGTCCTCAAAATCTTCGACGATCTCGATCCAGAGCTGTACAAGGAATGCCTGCTTAAGTTCCAGGAAGATGAATCCAAAGACGAAGAGACCAAAGCAAAACGTGAAAATAAATGGAAACGCTTGGAAGAACTCGCAGAAAAGAAAGATTTCAGTAGGGAAGGCACGCTCGAAACCCGCAAATCAATCGGTAATGGCTCATCAGGTTAGATATATATATATATATATATAGATTATATATTTTATTGACACGTTTTCAAGATTACCAGATTTTCTATTGGGGTGGAACTGATATATTGTGAATTTCTTTGCATATGACAATCTGAGATTATTGTGTATTGTAGGGTTCAGCTTATTTAGTGAAACCTAATAAAACATTTTTGCTAAATTAATCTATATATTTCTTGAATTTGTGCTTATTTCATATATTTCGTTCTCAGTTTATTCGGTTTCGAAATTATTCAGTTAGATCGTTTCGGGTTTTTTCTTTTACCATATTTTCCTCTCATTCCTTTAGTTTTTCTTTTCCAGTATCTTTATGTATTCAATGCTGTATCAATATTGGTATCAGTCGAAACGCCATGCACATACAAGCTTTGGACTGTTCAAATAACTCGTTTTAGTATTAAAGTAGTATTTCCAACCTAGACGGGCCATCCGTATTACCTTTCCAAGGCCCAGTGAATGATGTCGTGGGGGAATACGACCACGGGCCGACTTATGGTCCCGAAAAGATGATTCGAAAGCAGAGGATTGGTCCTTGTTTGCAAGTTCATTGCATGGGTTAACATGCAAGGTTTTGTTCGATCTCGTTTTTGTTGTGCGGCGGCCGTGTATCGGTTCCAAATAAAAGCCGACAACACTTCGACACGAGTTGTTCGGGCATTGATGGCTTTGTCGTTTGTATATGGCTCTGATGTTCACGGTTGATAAAGCATCGAAGGCAAATCTCTTGGCAACTAGATTCCCCTTCTATTGGTCCCGGTTCTCGGCCTGTGCATCGGTTCCGTAAAATGGCCAACAACGCTTCAACAGGAGTCGGAACCTTGTTGTTCGGGGTAGAACATTAACAATGACATGAAAATATGGCGTTCTCGTACTAAACTATAATTTTGGTTTTTCCTTCCTTTAATAAACAACAGTCTGTTTTGAGTACTTCGAGTCATGGTAAGAGTAGGTTGTCTAAGCTGTCTTTGCCCATTCCTGTTATATAATGGCCGGTCTGTTTCCTTTGACTCATCAGTTTCACCCTAACAGAGCCTTTCATCTGCAGCTAGTCAAGCTGCTGCTATATTACCATCTACATCCTCTCATCACTTTCATCATCCATCCCCATCAGTATCACCAGCATCTCACTCCATTCCATCAGTTCATGTTGTACCCTAATTTTGTTCGAGTAACTCAATTTAAATTGGGCCGAGCGTGATTGAAGATCGATTTGAGTTATTCATGCATTAATTAATTCAGGAGGCATGTAGTGAATTACTCAGGTCATTCACCTTTATCCATTTCCTTTAGACCCTTCAACTTACCCAACAAACCCAAATGAAATTCATCTAAACAGTCCATGAAAGTCCAGTTTACAAATTAAATACCCAAGTCCCTTTACCTTTTTCTTACAAATTCACCCATAACTCATAAATTAAAATCTATTACACTACAAAACCATGAACCAAGCCCACTTAATGTTTTAAATCCAAAGCCCAGCTGTCCCATTGATCCAGCAAGCCTAACATTGGGAACATGTTTGGCTAACCGTAAACCCTAGCCACTTCTTTGCTGTTGTCGCCGCCCCAGTTGAGGCTCTTCACATTTCAGCACCTCTTATCCCACGTAAACAGTCCCAACAACACACACGTGCTCGAAACAGAGTTCGTACGAAGCCACACACGTACAGTGGTCCAAACCAGAGCGCCCTTAATTGGTCCCTCCACGCGTGAGCAGCAGCAATGGTCCCCTCCCCGTGATTATCCTCTGTCAAAACGATTATGACAGGGGTAACAAAGCGGTGCAAATCGAGCTCCTCAGCATCACATGCAAAACAACAAACAAAAAGGATATAATTTCTTTTATAGATTTTTTGGGTATTATATAAACCCACATAGAGTGTAAACAAGGATCTCTCTCCCTGGGATTTATAGAAGAAATAAAAAAGAAAAGCAATTCCATTTTCAGCAACCAAATACCGAACTATACTTTTTTTCTAATTTTTTTTATTCTTTAGAACATCAATAGTTGAGTGACATTTTTGTAGTTTACCCAAAATTATAGTTGTACGAGAAAACGCCACGTGCCTGGTGAATATTTTTTTTTTATTTTATTTTCACTCAGAGAATCCTTAAAGCGTGGATAAGAGCCACTCCACAGATAAATTCTCTCTCAAAATCTCATCCTCACAGTTCTTTGGAGGTTGCAATGTCGCTAAATGCGCTGGTGAGACTCTCTCTGTCGAGTACTTCGAGAACCCACCACGAACCGGTCGATGGGTTAGTGAAACACTCGTTGTTCAGTTCGAAAACGGCGCCTTTGCGGCTGCCGCAGAGCCGGAGACAGCGCCATGGGGGAGGGAAGTTGTGGTCGAAGCTAAAGGGAAGAAAGGGATGGCGGCGCGTCAGTTCCAAAGGCCATCGCCTCCTCCTTTGCCTAAAATTGAAGACGATGGCAACCCTCGATTTGTCATCTTCATACGCATGGCCAATGTTTGTTTCTTTTCCTCACTAACAACTGCTTTGTTTCCTGTTATGAACTCCCCTTAAAAAAGTATTTATTATGTTTCCTATATTAACAAGTTATTCGGGTTCGACTGGGTTCAGTTCGTATAGAGCTGAAGCTCGAGTAGCTTGAGCTAGATGAATTTGAGTTCGAGCTTAAATAATTAAGCTTGAAATGGGGCTCAAGCTATTTAGTCAATTAACTTTTGAGTATCTTTGTAGTTTGTACTTAATTCGAGTAACTCATGGACTTGTTCGAGTAATTTTTTTAACTGATATGGAAAGCTGCTCAAGCTATCGATTCAATCGAATTCAACTATCTTAAGACTTAATTCGACTTCAATCCAAACTCGATGTCAAGCAAAAATGAATGAGCTTGAAATCGAGCATGGCAATTGAGCTTTAAAATTGGTACTTGACTGAGCTCATGTTGAGTTTCAAGCTTCAAATTTGAAGTCAAACTTTAGCTCGAGATTCTTACTGCATGAACGTAGCTCGGCTAGTTGTATACATTTGCATGCATGGTATGTGTTGTTTTAATATAAATGATGTTGCTGCATTTTTCTTGACTATTAAAAGTCTCATTGCTTGTGCAGGTTAATCTTTGGTACCCGCTTAGTATTATAACTGGTGGCACCACGGCAAATATCATGGTTGCAGCAAAGGACAATTTCCTCGGAAAATACATCTACAAGGATACGCTTTCCAGAAATCTCGCAGCAGTTATTTACAGAGTAAATTTTATCAACCCTAATAGTATCTCTCCATTATATCATTAGTTTGCGTTCTATAATAACACTTTTCCTTTTACAGGTTCGATTTTTATTTGGTTTTCTTTTTTGTTTCGTGTTGTGATCTTTATCTTTGTCAAGAACTTCCTGTCCCTTTTTTAATGCTTAGTTAATATGGAGACATGATGTTATTCCGATATAAGGAACGGTTACTTATCTCGAGTCGATAATGTTAGTGTCTAACTCTGTCAAGGATTCATTGAACCTAAACTTGCAGGTCTGTCAAAAGTTGTAATTTTGGCCCTTGTAATTTGGCTATGCTGTAGGAAAGAGAACTTAGATCGACACTTGTTTTTGTGCCGAGTAACTCTCATCAATTATCAAATAACATATATGAACTGTGTTACTGGAGTCGGTGTGATTGTTGGACATGGGTGTTTATCCTACATATATATGTGCAATTTCCCAATATTTTCATTTTTATGTTCCAAATATGGTTGGAAACAGGTACTTCAACAAAAATGAAAACTCAAGCAACATAGCATATGAATGTTTCATATTTTTGGATTTTGACTTTTTCAATGTTAATTACTTTCCACTATTTCAATCCGAGTTCTCAGGTTTTCTTGACTGCTTGTTCTTTTTTTGTAAATAGGATGAGAAGGCGATGCAAAAGACAGCATTTAAACAATTCTGAATTTTGCAATCTGCTACTGAGTTCAGATAAAGTTTTTTCCCCTTATATATAAAGTTTAGTTCAGAGTTGATTTTCTCCTTTTATTATCTTCAACAATGTTACTCAGACTCGGTGAAAATCCCGAATATTTTTGTCTGACACCGGTATGTTAATTTATTTATTTTATGTTTTTCTATATATTTGATGGATTTTTTAATGATCGTGTTCCCGTGCCCATGTTCAATTATGGGATGCATACCAGTGTCACAGATATTTTGTTTTGTAAAAAAATGAAGAGCCGAAATAACATAATTTAGTAGAACTGTTGTTCAGTGCAACTAGATGGTGAAGAAATTTGTTGTCTTGATTTTATGCTTAACGTGCAGGAAAATGGTAATATCAAAGCTGCAGCTGCTACCAATGATGTTATTGAGGTGAGCATACGAATTCGTTTTTGATGATATCGGAAAAGAAAGTTGAACTTACCCGTGTTGGACATATATCAATGTACGACACTTACCGATCCCAAGTAAGATAGCCTTTATCAACTTACTAACATATATATATATATATATGTTCCAAATGGAATTCTGCTTCCAGCACAAGACCAGCTTAAAACCGTGGTCGATAAAGTGAAAGACTTCTTTGGTGATGCAAAAGAGTCGTTCAGGAAGATAACATCGCTAAACTCTGCCGATTCCGAGTCGGACGAAAAATCTACAGAAAAGGCCGAGTAAGTTTTGTACCATTGATATTTTCTACACTGTTCCGGTTCATTTTTTCTTTTGAAGTTCCTGAATCTGGCACATTTTCTGATATGGTTACTTATTTATCCGAGTAAGTGTATGTATTTTAAGTTCCTTTTATGAATTTAGAAAGTCCTTAGTGAGTTATATCATGGTACTCATGTCCTAATATTTCTCGGACACGAGTATTAGACGTAGATACTTGAAAACGAAATGAAATATCAGAACATAGGACCATAGGGTATGAGGATATGAACATATTCGTATCACACTCGTATATATCGGACCGTCTTTATCATTTTATCTTACCCTTGATTCATCGATGGATTTGAACGATTTCGTTTGCCGACTTTTATTTCACTTGCTAGGGTTGGAGGCTGAGGAAAGACTAGCCGTGGGACCTGGATTTGGATGCTGCATGTGTTCGGGCAAAAAGTGAAACTTTCTGCACCAAAGTTTTGTTCATCGTCTATCTATGTTTCACTGTGCATAATTCTCAACTTCAAAAGTTCCCAATAGTTTATTCGTGCACGTATTTAATGTTTTTGCAGTAAGACAGTTCGAGATTCAAATTTCGGTTCGAGTTCGATTCGAGAAAAAAATTAAATCGTTTAGTTCACTAGATTTTGATGCTTAATTCATATATCACTTTCTTGGGATTAAGTCAAAATATGGGTGTATATATAAGATAATATTTGTTCAAAGATAATTTTTAACCTTTTAACGTTGAATACTTGCACTCTTGACATTTTCGATGCTCGAACTCGAGTTCTTAATAAATAACTACAATTATTTTCTACGAAGGCCACCTGAAATACAATTAGATGGGTATAGAGGCAATGAAAATGATAAAGCAAATTGAGCGTGATGATATTGAACGTTTATATTTTTTAAAATTTATGTTTAAACTTGAAATTTTAAATAATAATAATAATTTATTTATCATCAAGCTGGCCTGGGAAGTAAATTGTGAAATTTATAAATTGAAATTCGATCAAATTAATCAACAAAATTAACCAAAACGTGATAAATAATTTAAATGATGTAGAGTTGAATTAAATTAATTGAGACTGAATTAATTTGAGAGTATTTTTAAAATTGAAAAAATCAATTATTCACTTAAAATAAAATTAATTATATCATATGTCTCTAAATTATTATTTTTATTCTAAAATTGTTTTTAAAATTTTAAATATCTTAATGTTAACTTTAATTTGTATCTTAAATTAATTTTTAAATATTTTAATTTAATTTTTAAACTATTATCCTCGTTTTAAATTGATTTGAAATCTTTAGATATTTCAATTTTATCTTTAAATCTATTTAATTTATAATTAATTTTAATTATAGATTAGTTTAGATTTTATTTTATTTTAAGTAGTATAATTTAACCTATCAATTTTATTAACAAAAAATACGATTAACAGTGTAACATATATTAATATTTAAGAATAAAATAAAAAAATTAAAAGTTAAAAAAATTAAATAAAAATTATAATATAAGATTAAATTGGAACATCCGAATCACAAATTAATTTTAACGTGAGTCATGCATCTAGTACTTAAATTATCAGTTTTGATTCGTTTTAGTATTTGAACTTTCAATTTTTTTAAAATTATATTTAACGTTTAGTTTTTATTTCATTTTAGAACTCATCATTAAAAACTTAACGTTTTAATACTTAAACTATCAATTTTAGTCCGTTTTAATACATAAACTTTTAATTTTTTAAAATTTAACTTTAAATTTTTAACGGGATATTAAAATAAAACAAAAAATAAATTCTAGATATAGTTTTAAAAAATTAAAAATTTAAGTATTAAAATAGATCAAAACTGACAGTTCATGTCCTAAACGTACAATTTACCTTTAATTTTACTTTAACAAAAAAAATGAATTTGAACACGTGTATAAAATTCGCAGTCCGACTAGAGGATAAGAACTGGTCTATCATCTTGTGAAACCTTGTCCAATACAAAGACTTGATCCATGGATAAATCTAGAAATTTTTTGTCCCTTTTTCTCCGGAAATCTCCATTTTTCCCTTTTAGAAAACATCAAACCACCGGCTGCCATGCTCACACAGCTCAGCAGCACTCCGGATTTTCCCACCTTATTTTCCCTCGAACCAAACAAGCCGACAAAGGTGTAAAAACAACAGCAGCAGCAACAACACTTTCCAAAGAGAAAATGGCTCAAGCTTTTTCAAGTGAAGATTCTGACCCCTTTGGTTCACCGAATAAAGAAAGCAGTCACCGTAAGAAGAACAATGATACGGACAGGGAGGCGGATAAAAGAGAGAACCTTGACAACCCACAAGAACACGTGGCTCTGAATCCAACTCGACAAGCGTTGGTCCTGATGCACCAGAAGGTATATGTTACGGACTACTTTTTAAAACTCAACTCCAAGTCATGGATTTTACAAAGACGGATGAAAACAATATTAAACGATAGGAGGGATTAAACTAGTTAATCTTAAAATCAATACCAATAAAATTTAAGTAAACTATTTAGTATCTAAATTATTAATTTTAATATGTTTCAGTACCTATATTTTTTAATTTTTAAAATTATATTTAACATTTAGTTTTCATTTCATTTTAATACCCATCATTAAATACTTAACACTTTTAATACTTAAAATATTAGTTATAGCACATTTTAATATCTAAATTTCTATCTTTTTCAAAATTTAATAGAACTGTACTAAAAAAATAAAAACTAAAGTTTTAAATTATGTGTTAAAATTAAATAAAAAATAAATTTTAGGTATAATTTTAAGAAATTAAAAGTTTAAGCATTAAAATTAATTAAGACTGATAGATATTAAATATGTAATTTATCTTAAAATTTAATAAATAAATAATTTTGAAGTTGGAGAGAAAATAAGGTTTTTAGTTAGTTTTTCTTATCCAACTTATCTTTGTAACCACTATTACTTTTTCTTATCCAAGCCATATGTGTCCTTGTGTTTGATCTTTACCATCTATTTGTCGCTCCTTAAGACCATGGTCTATTGCCGTTATTGACTTGTCTAATACAATCAGCCTGAACCAGCCGAGTACTTCATGCATATAAGTAATTTTAGGGATGGGTATGGGAGTCGAACCCGACAGGTTTTGATCTAACCCGATCGAATCGGATTTTTTTTAAAAAAAATTGGCTTCGGGTTGGATTGGGTCAGTTTTTTTTAAATGTGATGTTCGGGTCGAGTTGAGTTCGGGTTTATAATGACAAATACTCGACTCGACCTAAAAAAATATAATTTTAGCTTATATATTTAGAGATAATTACAATAATACCCTTCATATATTATTCTTTCAAGTAAATTCCTATTTTTATTGATTAAAAATAATATTATTATTATTTCGGGTCGGATCAAATTCGAATTTTATCTCAAAAAATCGGGTCGGATTGATCGAAACCTGACCCATGCACGTCCCTAAGTACTTTAATCTTTAAGCAATTTGATAAGAAATCTAAATATTAGACATATTTTAACATGATTTAAAAAAAAATTCTTTATAACAGAAACAAATCTTATAATATACAAATCTAAGAAAAAATAGGTAATAATAGTTTAACCTAAACAATGATTATCTAAACTTAGAGCTAAGAAACAAAAATTGATTAACAAAACTATTAGCGAACAAGATATCCAAAGCAATAATGAGGTAAATCTTGAAATTCTTTGTAATTAACAAGATTTTAGTAAAAATTTGAAATAATAAAGGATGATTTGAAAAATCCAAACAAATTATGTAAGAAATTTAAATAGTTTTATATAACAATGGAGAAAATAAAATATACTTAAAAAATGGTAAAGCACAGAGAATAGAAAATGCAAGAAATTTGAAACAATGGAAGTTATACAATTGATTTTATAGAAAATAAAATGGCAAAACACTTTATTGAGATAGTAAAAGAAAAAAACATTGGCTAGGAAAATAAATTACGTTGATCGGAGGTTTCACTTGTATCAAACACGATGAAACGTGGAAAGTAAATTGATGTAGTGTTAGTTGTACTATCATTCATGATCATATAATGGGAGTTGATCTTATGATTTAATTAATGAAAAACCATATGAGGAGTCTGAGTCTAATTTGATAATGTCAACTCTTACGGCTCGAAGAGAGAGAAAATTATAAAATGAGTTGTTAAGAGAGATGAAATTGCACAAGCAGGTCGTGACTTGGTTGTTGGAGGCCCCGAGTAAATTCTTGTAAAAGGGCCCTTAGATCTAGAAATTATTTTTCTAAAATAATAAATGACTAATTTCATTAACTTAAAATAGTAATTTCAAATCATCAATTACATCACATCCATAAAAAAATACAACTTACAAATTCACTTAAAACGTGATACTAGTATTACATTCTTTGAAACAAAATCATCTATAAAAGTTTCAATATCAACGTCTTCCAAAATATCACTCAATAGATATTAAAGCAAGTCCATCTAGTATTTCTTGCGTCATGGTTGTCCTTAAGTATGACTTGAGCAACTTTAGTTTTGAAAAACCCTCTCTGCAGAAGCAACAGAAACATGTATAGTCAATAAAATTTTGTATATAATTGTGACATTTGGAAAGCAATTGAAGCATTTCAAGAACCTTAATATATCCATTGCTCCCATCTTTTCCTTAGGTAACATCTCTCTAAGCAATTTTAACTCAGTAAAAAGATCATTTCCATGACAATCAGAAAACTCACCTCTCCTAAGAGTATTTTCAAAGTGACTACAACATGATTGGAGTTTAATGTCATCCATTGATTGCAAATTTTCATAAGTAAACAAAAATTTAAAAACACTCTCATATAATTCATATTGTTCAAACCTTTTTTCCAATGATGAAATAGCTTGATCAACAATGTAGATAAAATATTGAATTCTAAATGATTCCTATGGAGATAATGATGTCTCCTCACTATCAACCTCATCAAATTATCTTTTTTTACGTATTATACGCCTTTGAGGAAAGATAGGGTTGACTCTAATTTCAATGGCATTTGAAAATCCAACATCTCTATAATTTCTTAAAAATGAAATCAATCCTTTTATCTCACACATAGCAATATCAATCACCATATTTTCTCACTGTAGATATTTGCTAACCTTGTTCACAACAGATAAAATATCATACCAAATGATTTTAGATAGTAAAAACTCAAAACTACCAAGCTCATTAGTTGCTAAAGATTTTGCTTCACTTTGAGTTTTAGAATCAATATCAACAGTAGCTACTTCAAGTAAGGCTTCCCTTAATTCAATAATTTGAAATCTTATTGATGTGATACTATCAATTCGACTTTCCCAACGTGTGGCTGACATTGATTTGGTAGTATACTCTTTCACATAATGTTTTAAAATATCCCACCTCTTTGTTGAACTAGCAAATATAGTATATATGCGTTGAACTAATCCAAAAAAATCACTTGCTTTATTTGAAGTGTTTGTCACACAAAACCAAATTAAGACTATGACAACCACATGGAGCATAAAAAGCTCTAGGATTCAAATCTAATAGTCTTTTTTGCACACCTTGATGTTTACCTTTCATATTAGACCCATTATCATATCCTTGACCTCTAATATTATCTATATCAAAATCATGAGATTTAAGCACATCTTCTAACACTTTAAAAAGCCCTTGGTCAGTTGTATCATTAACTTGTAAGAACTCGATAAAAAATTATTCAATTTTAAAAGTATTAGAAGAGCCATCAACACACCTCATAATTAGAGTCATTTGTTCCTGATGACTAGCATCTGGTGTGCAATCCAACATCACAGAAAAATATCTAGCTTCTTTTATTCTATTGATAATAATAGATCTAATCTTGGAGGAAAGTAAAAGTATCAACTCGTTTTGAATGTCATTACTTAGATAATGGTGATGAATCTTACCACTAGTAATACGTTGAACATGTTCGATCATTACAGGATCAAACTCAGCCAACATTTCTATCAAACCCAAAAAATTTCCATTGCTCTTTTGATATAATCTTCCATTCCCCCCCCCCCCCGAAATGCTAGGTTATTTTTAGCAAGATACTTCACAATAACAAGAATTCTAATAATTACATTTTTCAAATACTCTTTTTCTTTCTTGAATTGTTCTTTAGCAACTTTATCAATTGTTTCATTTTGTTGCAGCATATTCCCAAGTTCACACCAAGTTGCCATGTTTAGTACATGGTCAATACTTGTTTCATGTTTTGTAACTCTGGTACTAAGATGCATCCAATTATTATATCCTTCATTTATTAAATTACCTTTCCTAGGACCAGGCCCCTTTTTAAAAATCTTACAACAAAAGCAAAACACTTTGTCGAGTTCTTTCGAATAAACAAGCCATTTCCTATCACAAGTTTCACCATTCGACAAATATCTTATATAAAAGGTTGAAGAAAATCTACGAGAAAATTTATCTTTGGACCTTTCACAATGCTCAAGTCTCTTTTAGGGCCATTTACAACCAAAATGTCAATCAATTTAGACTAAAGAGAATCCCATTTTCTTGGATCATATATGTCAACATAAACAGATTCATTTTGTTCAGCATTGTGGTTAGTATGATCAGAATTATGGGAAATATTGGCATTCTCCTTATTAACAACACCATCCACAATTCCTCTTGTTCAACATTCTCACCATCAACATTAGTTCCATTTAATTCCTGAGAGTGAGAATTAACATCATTTTCCTCTACTTGGGTATCCTTTTAAAAAAACTTATCCAAAGCACCTTTTTGAAATGAATTAGTTGTTCTACTCTTTTAGTTTTTTGACGCTTTTTATAACTAGATTGATATTTTCGAATCATATTGAACAAAATCAACACAAAGCAAAAACAGCCACAAAATTAACACAAATCAAAAACAAATATAGTGAGATAAGATAGCACCAGAGTTCTGAGTTCAACTTCCAATTTGGCATGTCATCTACTCAACTCGACAACTCTCCTCAAATTAACATCATCAAATCTGCAATTTAAATACAATATAAGAACTAAAAGTACAAAATTTAAACTAAGAAAAAGGTTGAACCGTTAAATTGAAAAGAAGTAATACCCATCTCTTTAATTTCTCCTGGAAATGGAATATTCAATTTCTCAAAATTGAAATTATTAAAGAGATTGAATTTGGGAAAATATGTAGGAATTAAGAAAGAAGAATCGAAGTGTGTGGAATAATAAGAAGGAAACGTGTTTATAATAAGAAGGAAACATGCGTTTTTTCCTTTGTTAAGCAATATTATAATTGAAAAAGTTGGAAATCACATGCAAAACAGTTGAAAAGCTGGAAATCACATGCAGAGCAGTTGAAAAGCTGGAACAATAGCAAAGCATTAGTAACTAGGTCGTTGAAATCACATGCAAAGCACTAGCAACAATAGCAAAGTACTAATACAGTTGTATTACACCAAATATATTAAAAAGGGTGATGTTTTCGTGTTCCCAAGGCCAAATGTGTTTCTTTACAGTAGTATTTTGGGCCCCTATTTTTGTGGGGCCTGCGCCGTCGCGCAGTTCGCGCCGGCTCAGCCACACCCCTGTGCACAAGCTATATGGAGTGATTATATAACTGGAAACATTAATTTGTTTTAGAATCTAGGTTGAGTTCTTAATGTGATGTATTACATGTTATGTATGCTAGACGATGAAATTGTAATGTTGTGAGTTTGTTGGATATTGAAACGATTGTCTTATGTTTCTTTGATATTGAAATTATTATGTTTGATGTTTGATGAATATTGAAATTGTTATGCTTTATGTTTGTTGGATATTGAAATTATTATGTTATAAGTTTGTTAGCTATTGAGAGTATTATGTTTTAAGTTTGTTGTGTATTAAAAGTGTTTGTTTTATGTTCGATGGTTATAAAAAGTGCTACGATATTAGATTTTATATTTTATATTTTTGGATGTTACAAATTTTTATGTTATTTGAGTTTTATATTATTGAATTTGTTGAAATTTGAGGATTTTGGAATATGGTATTGTTATTGCATTTGCTTTTAAATTTGTATTGGTCATAGAATTAATATTTTATATGATTATTAATGTAGATATGAAAAAAGATTTTGTGGAACAAAAAACAAATACTTCATCTGAATCATTGAAACATAAAAGCTAAGAAAGTGTTGATGATGGTCATATTCAATTCGTGGGTGGGAAACTTGGTGAAATTGCTGAAGCATTAAGAAAAGTTACTGAGGATAAGACACAACGTCTTTATGAAGAAGTGATGTCGATGGAGAAAGAAGGATTTGGTGACGAATTTCTTTGCAATATATTTGATTTTCTAGTAAAGAATGAGTACGAGGCCAAAGTTTTTCTGGCTAAGAAAACAAAACATAGAAAACTTTGGCTTCAAAAGTTTACCCAAGGTTAAAAATATGTAGCTTTAAAGTGTTGTTCGATAATAAGTACGAACTTAAACAATAATGATGTATTAATATGTTGTAGTACTAACCATGCACTGGGACGGTATTATTGTATTATTATGATGTACTCTTAATTATGTATTTGGATATTATGATGTATTAATAAGTATGATGTACTCTTAATAAGTATGAACTTAAACAATATTTATGCACTTCAACAATATTATTGGTTTAAAATAGTTTATTATTGATGTTGTAAAATCATTTATTATTAATTATATTATTTTAAAATGTAGTACTTATACATTGTGTTGTTTGTCAATTATTATGGTGAAACAAATTTCATCTTTGATTTGATGTTGTTTATCTACCTAAGAAGGGATGGTATCTAATGGTATAAGTTGATATTGGATATTTATAGGGACATTACATGTTGTGTTCATACAATTTTTTAGATATTGATCAAGCTTATACATTATAATATTAATTTTAAATTTTATTAGATATATTTAAAGTAATTAAATAATAAAATCTATAATATGTTTTGTTTTATTAAAAACATATTCTGAAAATTGTTTTACACAACATTATTTAAACACTAAAAAATGATTTTCGAAATTCATTTTTTAAAAAATATAATTCATTTTTCATTCAGTCTATCAAACATACTCTTAGTTTTATAAAAAAAATAACATGAGTTTGATTTCATTATTAATAACAATGGTGAAATTAAGATTGAACATTAAAAAATTTTAGTAATTATTTTGTACTTTCTGAACGTTTAATCATTAAATTATTATTTTAACTTAATTTAAGTAAATAAATAAATAAATAAACAAAAGTCGTGGGACAGGTTCCCAACAGCAAGAACAGTGCAGCAAATGATGAAAACAATGGAAGACCCTTTTGCGTACTCCGGCTCGTGTCCGTCGTCGTTACCGACGGAAACCGGCACATACAACCGGGGAAGGATGTCGTGGGAGATCAAAGAAGGAGACGAAGTTAATGGCGGGTGGAGGATGAATTTCTATTTGGTAATGTAAGGATGGACATAAAATTTGTATAATAGATTTCGACCCGTTTTCATCTTATATGATCAATATTTTGAGTTAGATCGGATTAGATTTTTGAAGGACTGTATTAGATTGAATTAGATTTAAGATGATATCTTTTGATCTAACTCGAGACAATACTATAATTATTATTTATATATTTAAAGATTTAAAATAATTTTTTAAACATAACCATGAGTTGCTTGTCTAAAAGGGGCGATTTAAATTTTTTTGAAATGTTGATGTTGAAATTGTAAAAAATAAATGTTAAGGACAACATTGTAAAAAATGTAATGGCTTCTTTTTACTTTTTATGCCCAAACAAGTATAAGCATAATTTTTTTATTAAACTGAGGTAAATATAAGATAATATCTATTTAAATATATTTATCAACCCTTTGACATTGAACGCTCACATCTCTGGTATTTCTGGAGCTCGAACTCGGGATCTTAAGAAATAACAATTTTTTTACCACTGAAATCGCTCGATTCGTGCATAAGCGTAATATTTTGCTTGTTGTGAAAGGGTGATTCAATTCATTATAATATCAAATTGACACACTACAAAATCTTACAACCCTAGATTCCTAGTGTTATCTAACCCTCTAAGTAAGCTACAAAATCTTAATCGAGGGACTAAAATCGAATTATATTTTTATGAAGAATCAAATTAAAATTTCCCTATTGCAATAGGTCATATAACTTTACATTTTTTATCATACCAAACAACAAATTTTTTTATTTTAGGGGCCAAAATACAATTTCACTATTGCATTAGTTTAGAACACCGCAATGAAACACTATTAGTGACCAATTGATAATGACAACTTGTTTTAGTCACAATAAAACACCATTAGTGACGAATTACTTGTGATGAACTTCAAAGTCGTCACAATTATTATCTAAAAAATAACAAAATAAAAATAAGTCACAATTAGTCATTTCAAAATTGATAAAAATAATTTTCGACATAAAAATATACTTTTTGCGACAAAAATATTTAATTCATAATTAAATGGTCACTAAAAGTCTTAATTCTTCTAACGATATTACCACAATTACTTTCTCTTAAACCGCCAAATATTGAGAGAGAGAGAAACAGATGCCAACACAATATTAAACCACATTAATAAAACAACTACAACGTAAATTCCAAGCTTGATTATCCAAAAGAAAGAAGCACAAGATTAAATCACATTAGACAAATAAGAAATAAAATTCATGGACAATCTCCAATTTAACTTTAAAAAAGGGATAATAATCATACCCATAAATAGATTCTCCATTTTGTTTCCAGTCCTAGTAGGATCCCCGCCATGAACTATAAAATCCTACATCATAACAACAAAACACAGGTTAAAAAAATTATACTAATCTATTTAGGAACTCTTTAAAAATATAAGGCTTTGGGTTGTAATTAACCCATAAATTTTGGGGTTTGAATACCCAAAACCTATATTCACGGTTACCATTTGGTATTTTGAAAAAAATGGGTACCTTAGTCGATTTTCTCTCTCAACAAAATGTTTTTGGTTTTTCTTCGATTCGTTGCTTACTGAGAGGAGGTGTTTGATACCTCCAGTATCATTGTGTTCGTCTCGTTGACCCCGTTTTTCCAATGTCCTTAGATTTTCGTTCACCATCGCCGTTTAGAATCGGTGAAGTTTTGAATGTTCGAAATTCGCTAAAAACTCCATCTCCATCGATTTTTTTTCACAAACTGACCTTGTAAGTGATTCCCCGTAGTTGGGATTATTTTTCTGCAAATTCTGGTATTTTTCGGCCACAATAAAGTCCCCCACGCGCTCCCACGTGTTGCCGGACGTGTGTGGGACTCGTCCGACAGATTGAACCGGCTGAACCGATTACCCTTTGGACCGAACTGGTTGGGCTGGTCACTGACCCGTTGATCCGACCCATTTGATCGATCCGTTGATCATTAACTGTTGACTTTGACTTTAACGGTTGACTTTTTCCAAAACAACCTAATTTATGTTTTTCGACGTCATGAGTTCTTTTTTGCAAGTCTATTTGGTCAAATTCTGACCCCAAAAGCCTATTTTACATCGTATATTGCTTAAAGTCATGATTTAATTAAGTAAATTTTGGAATTTTGGACTCACTTTCTGATATTGATTTCTAAAGGTGATCACGCTTCTCAACATCATTCACCAGTTAACCCTGACTGTTCTCAATCAACTTAGTTCGATTATGCTTGTTTGTCTCGATTCGTATAAGTATTATTTAGTTTCTTTATAGTCTTTTACAGTTTAGAATTATGGATTATGTGTTCATGGACAAGTATTGTTTTAAGTTCCCATTCCGCAAGACCTAGTACTACTAACGTAGGAAACGTAAGGCCTGACCGATATGCATTTTAAGTTTTTAAAATAAAATTAATTTTTTTATGATTTTTTATTAATCCGAGGTAAATACAAGGTAATATATGTTCATGATAACTCTTAACTATTTGACATTGAGCGCTCATATTTTTAGCATTCTTGGTGCTCAAACTCACGAACTCAAGGATTAACAACAATTCAGATTGTGTTTTCTATCAGTTTTGGTTTGTTTTAGTACCTAAGCTTTCAATTTTTTCAAAAATTATATTTAAATTTTAGTTTTTGTTTCATTTTAGTACACCCATTCAAAATTTGATGTTTTAAAAAAATTGAAAGTTTAGGTACTAAAACAATTAAAACTGATTGTTTAGGTATTAAACACGTTAAGTTTTTAACGGCGGATTGCCAAAAGAAAACAAAAATTAAACGTTAGGTAAGGTTTAATAAAAATTGAAAGTTTAGGTACTAAAACGAACTAAAACTGATAGTTTAGGTACTAAATGTGTAACTTACCCTTTGATCTATTTTAATTTTACAAATTGGATTTCTTTTTAGAAATTTAGGTTCGAATTTAACAGATTGTATTAATTTTTTTAAGAATAATATCATATTAAACCAGATTTAAGGTGAAAACTTTTGACTCGATCTATATAATAATAAAATTATATGTTAGGCGATGTGCATGTCTTGAACTACTATTAATTTTTTTTATTAATCTGAAGTAAGTATAAAATACTATTTATCCAAAGATAATTGTCAACTATTTGATATTGAACATTTACACCTCTAACATTCCTAGTGCTTAAATCCGAGACCTCAAAGAATAACAACAATCCCTTAACCATCAAGGTCGCTCATTCATGTCACCACCATTAGTTGATTGTCTAAAAGGGGTAGATTTAAATATTTCTGAAATGTTGATGTTAAATTTGTAAAGAGAGGGGGAGAGAGAGAGAGAGATGTTGAGGACAACATTGTAAAAAATGTAAAGTTAAAGGATTCTTTTTACATTATGCCCAAACAAGTATAAGCATAATCTTTCGCTTGTTGTGAAAGGGTAGATTACTGTTGATTCAATTCATTATAATACCAAATTGACACACTTAAAATCTTGTCTTAGAACCCTATATTCCTAGTGTTATCTAACCCTATAAGTAAGCTACAAAATCTTCTCTGAGGGACTAAAATTGAATTATACATTTTTTTTGGAGAATCAAAATACAATTTCACCATTGTAATAGGTCATATAACCTTACTTTTTTACCAGACCAAACAGCAATTTTATTATTTTAGGGGCCAAAACGCAATTTCACCTTTGCGTTAGTTTAGAACATTGCAATTTGAAGAAGATATAACCATTGGATATGACCCTCCAAGAATCCTTTAAATGTACAAGAAAATAATATTAAATTAAACATACACGAACCGAACACACAAATACGACAACCGAGCAAATACGAATACGACGATACATCCGAGTTTGAGTAACTAAGAAGAGAATTCATTGACGAGGATCTGTTCATATTTTTACATTACAACACTCAGGTTTTTAAAAAAACTGAGTTGAATGCCATTACCCTCTTTTTATTCTCAGATTTTCATCTATTCATCTTCTACATAAATATTCAGGTTGTTCTACACAAGACTGACCTGCTTGCTTGTTCCAAAACCCTTGGGACACGAAAGCAGCAAACAAAGTACTATATACAGCTGCCGTTGAACAAACCGCCGGGAGGGTTTTGATCGATAAACCCGGACCTACCTCATACGATAATGTATGTATGTACAATGGGCTGATGGTGGTGGTGGTGGTGTCAGATCATGTAATCAGACACATATGAATGTGTCTCGGGCATTACGAGAGGGAGCTTTTCGAAGTAGAGGTATAGGCGCCACAAGTTCTCCTTTGCAAGGGTAAGCACGTCGATTATGTCGCTGCAACTCGTGAGAACCCACAGATCTTCAGACTTCACTCTCTTTAAACTGCCACGGCAGAAAGGGCAGGACTGCGAACGGACATTCCTGCAAATCAAGACCACTAAAAGGTTTAACCGTATGTAACAACATGAATGGCTTAAGAGGGAGGGCTGGGAATACCATTCATGGAAGCAGCTAATGCATAAGGCATGGCCACAATTCGGCAGCACCATTTTCGTGCAATTCTCCATGCATATTCCGCATTCGTCGTCTCTCTCCGAATCTTTATCAGCAACTCTCTTTCGATCTTCAGCTTTCTTCCGGCTCGAAACTTCCGCGCACCTGCCTTTGTTATTATCTTCTGATTCGATAAGCTCGTCGCCAAGTTGCCTTAGCAAAGGGTAAATAACAGCTGCAAACGATGATCCAATGAGTACCTTACAAAATAAGTTAAATAAAAGGAGAGCCAAAGAACCAAGAAACAACAGAGTAAAACATACCATAAAATTCCCTTAGAGTTGCTTTCTTATCTTTGGAGGATAAAGCCGGCACTCCATCGACATACGCCTGAACCAACTCGGGTGTAAGCATCGGATACGGGTATTTAAACATCCGAAACAAAAGAATCGTAATAGCTCACCTTGTATACGAGTATATGGAGAAGGCCTAAGTAACTAGGAAGGGTATCTGTACAACTATAATCCATCCATTCAACCAAAAACAAGATGAATGGTGCAAAAGGGCTATAAGATAATCTCATTTGGTAGCAATTCCCACCAAAGTCCCCCGGTAGAGCAGCTGCCCTGCAAATTTCAACCCCAAAACATCACAATCGGTTTACATTATTCCGACATCCATGCTCGACATGATTTTGAACACGATCGTAGAATATGTTTCGAAAGAAAAATTGAACATACCCGAACCGGACATATTTCAAAAACATAACAAAAAGAAAAACAGGTAACAAGGAATGAAATCCTTCATGTACAAAGCAATCATTCTCCTTCAGTCAAATTACGGTTTTGGTACCTCTACCATGCCCAAATTTGGAATTTAATCCTTATATTTTTATATGATATAATTTCACCCATCTATTTTTATAATTTTATTGATAAAAAAGGTTCAACTACATCCTTGAAGGTTTTGAAACTATACAAATTAAACCCTACACCTGTATTTTTTTTAATTTACTTCTTAGATCCCTACTAGTTTTTAAACAAGGCAAATTAAGTTCCAACCTCCATGTTTTGGTTAAATACTTCTTAAGTCCCTATGAACTTTGATATTAGGCAAAAAAAAAGCAATATCCTATGAATACTTCTTAATAAATAAAGCAAATTAAACATTAATCCGTATTTTTTTAATTTTAGCTTAAAAATTAGACCTTTACCTGTTTTATATTACTATTTATATTTCCCATTTAATCTATCATCTTAGCTCCGTCCAACTGAATCTTTTAAAGAAAAATCAACATTTTAACCAAAGTAGTTAACAGGAGTAAATATTTCTACTATTATAAGCTGAGACCATTAAATAGAAGTATACGGACTAAAATGAAAATTTGAGTATAACAAAAGGACCAAAATCACAATTCGACCTTGTTCTTTTCCGCTGGAACAACCAAGCAACCCATAAAAAAAAGATATCAAACTCTACAAACCCAGAACTGATTATTCAACACAATCAAAATTCATCCATCGATCATACACAAATAACCAAAACGAAATGCCCAGAAACAGAAATTTCAGAAGAAAGCAGGAATTCTCCCAGAAAAAAAAACGATAAACTTACAAGCTATTAGCATGCTGTATATCAGCTTCAAGAGCTTTGAGAGATTCCTTGAAAGAAGACCTACTACTCGGCTGTTGCTGCAACATTGATTCTCCCCCTTTTCTCTAGAAATCAAAAGGGAAAATCGAAGCAAAAATGGATGGGCCTCACTGGGTTTGTTTTCCTTTTTGTTTTTTTGTTCAAGGAATGAGGGAATTTGGTGGACTAATGTGATGGGTTCTTTTTAAAAGAAGAAAGGGAGAGAGATTGCTTAGTGTTGAAACCTTTGATATTTGAAGGAAAGAAAGGGATGTCTTCTCCTCTTTTATCAAACGAATCTTCTCTTTTCTTTGCCTTCATGATTTTCTCAACTGCTCTTTGGGAAAACCCCATTATTTTTTTCATCACACCCCCAAGCTTGACTTTGCCTTCAGCCACCAGTTGGCTCCTACTAATTCAGCTTTATTATAGAGGCTGACATGCATACAGCTGTTCATCGATCGGTTCGATTTTAGAACGAAATAGAATTTAAAAAAAAAAAGTTATTCGATTTTTTTTTGTTTAATTATCGATATTTAATATATTGATTAACTACTTCATATCGAGTTTTACATAGATTTATTATAAGATTGTCTCTCTCAATCCAATTTACTCTAAGTGATCTAATGTCCCTCTCTAGATCAACTGGATTAAGTTATATAAATGTATAGAATTTGATTTTAATTATAACTTTTGAAGAATTAAAATATAATTTTACTATTGGATCACTATATAATTTTATAACTTCAAAAGGATTAAATTGTAACTTTACTATTTTGAGAGTATTAAAACGTAACTTTATTATAGCATTACCTTATAATTTTATAAGTTTGAGGGATTTGAATTGTAATTTTATCATTTTAGGTGATCAAATCCTTACCAGCACCCTGACTAGTTTTATTTATAGTTCAAACATGGTATACGCATTTATTTAAATCTGTTTGAAATATGGACTTTAAATTTTGAAGGCAAAGTCAGATTTTTTCTTTGAATATCAAATTTTAATTATGAATTTTGAAGAGTTAAAATATAACTTTACCATTAAATTAAAAGTTTATTATTTTGAATTGGTGGAAATGTAATTATATTATAATATTACCTTATAATTTATAAGTTTGAAGGATTAAAACTGCAAATTTGTTTATTTCAAGTGAATAACTCTTACATATTTACTTATAATATAAGTTTCAAATTTGTTTAAATTTAAACTTTAAACTTCAAATATAAACTGGGTTGGGAGGATCACTCTCGCCTTTGTAATACCTGATATGGATTAGTTGATCAATCGATCGGATACAAGATATTAATTCAAAAAAAAAAGTGTAACGTTTGTATTGGTCCCCTTTAAAGTTTTGAGTTCGAGCAGTTGTATCTGTAGGGTGTAGGGATGGCAACTCAACCCGAACCCGACCCGACCCGGCCGGGTCGGATTTTTTTAAAAAAAAAATCTGGTTCGGGTCGGGTTTTTTATGCACTGTTCTTGTCGGGTCGGGTTTGGGTGGAAAATCTGACCCGAAAAAATATATATAATTTACCCTATATATTTAGAGATAATTAAAATAATACACCTCTCTATATATTTTTTTAATTAAGTCACTGTTTTTATTGAATATAATTTTTTTTTTCGGGTAGGGTCGGATCAGGTGAAACCTTAATTTCGTCGGGTCGAGTCACGAGTGGAGGACCCTTTCTTCTCGGGTCGGGTGGCCCAAAATCCGACCCGACCTGACCTGACCCATTGCCATCCCTAAGTGTGTGTACATTGTAATCACCTCAGACTAATCAAATATATATATAAGACTCTTAATAATTTGATAATAAACGTTCAAACATTATTACAGACTATCCGTATGAACCCGAGATATCCAAACATAACGATATTTTTAATCATGAACTACTTTAACCTTCATTTAAATTTATCTTTCTAAAGCGGTCCCTGTATTATTATCCTAAAGCGTTGGTCATCCCCGACATTATTGAAAACTTTAATTGGAAATTTGAAAAAGAAATAAAGGTGGTAGAAAATAAAGAAAAACATTAATTAATTGCACCATTAAAGATATATCTGATGTTGATAAGGACCAATGTGTAGAGATAAGGAAAATTTCAACCGTTTACTCAATCCCCATTTTCACATGCTTTTCATTTCATTCTTTTATCTCATTATATACATTTGGAAACTACGTTTAGGTGAGGGGTATTCTGGTTTAGGGTTCGAGTATATTATCGATTTTACGAAGAAGTTAAACCGATATTTATATATCATTCGTTAAACGAGATTGATGTTTATATTCGAATTTTAGTACTTGTCACGCTGTTAACGAAGTTATGTAATAGACTAGAGCCCAAATTATTTTTGAAAAACAAATTTGTACAAATTTAAATTTTCTAACTTTGTCACTGTTAACCAGTGTTAAATCAACTGAATCGTGTTATAATCGTTTGTATTTTGGGACCAAAATAGAAGTATAAATTTTGGGGAGGCCAAAGCTAATCGCTTTAAAGAAGGATTAAATTGGTTATATATAATTGAGAAGGAGCAAAATAGCAATTGTACCATTTAACCAAAAGGCCTAGCCCCTTACTACTACTTTTCTTTTTTGTATAACCATTGATATCCAACTTAGTAATCAATTAATTTGAATTTTGTACATAACTTCTGAATTCATTATAAAAATGACCCTTTATTTTATTCACAACGTCAAAATTTGAACTCTTAATTTTATTTGAAAGATTTAACATTTCATTACGTTGTTTTTCGACCGATCTGATTCATAAAAATTATATTTTCACATGAATTTTTATGACTAACTTAAAAATAAAATATTTTAAAATATATAGAAGAAATTTGTTAATGTTCATGTTAAACACAAGAGGGTGCCACATGGATAGTTGGTTTTCTCTGATATGAAAATGACAATTTTGACATATAAAGAATGAAATGGTATTGATTGTGGCAATAGGGACTTGAAAGTGGTCCATTTAAAGATTAGTCTTAAGGTATATGCACCTAATCAGTTGCCCTATTGGGCCCTTCGCCATAAATACTAGGTTGAAATTATTAAATAACGTCCTTCAAATGTATATAGGGTAAAATACACAAATGGTCCATTAACTATAGAGCAATGCTTTGTTGAGCCCCCAACTATTAAAAATTACAAAATTATCATCTAACTATAGGGTGTTGCTTTGTTAGTCTCTCGACTATTAAAAATAACAAAATTATCATCTGACTATTCATATGTTTCAAACTCATATTTTTTTGTTAAAAAAATTAACAACTATCTCAAAATAAGTTATATATACCTTCGATTCTATAAGTACCCAAACCACGCTATCTATTTTTTTGTATAACTTCCGATATCCGATCTATTGATCGATAAATCCGAATCGGATACTGCAGAGGCAAAAGATACCCTCCCAACCCAATTTACTCTATTCACAATTGTCAGGATTCAAACCCCTAACTTTACTTAAATGATCGAATGCCTCATCCCACTAAAGCTACCGGTTGTTAGTATCTATTTTCATAAGCCTAAAGCAAAGCCTTCATTTGTGCCTTAAGATTTACCCATCTTTAACATCACAACATACATAATTATTGCAAAGGTTAAATGGTAAAAAGATTCTAACAAAAATTAGTCAATCAAGTTCTTTTGATATTAATTAAATTTGAGAATTAATTAACAAACAACCAATGATATGGCGACGTATAGCACAATCTGAAATCATCAAGCCAATAACCATATCAAAACATTAAAAATTTATCTGATACTAGAGCCCGAGTAACATAAATAAAGCCCGAGTAACAAATAAAATCCAGGCTTAATATAAAATAAGCGCGCAAATATAGTAGGGTTGGGCACGGGACCTGAACCCGACGAATTTCGACCCATCTGATCGGGTCAGATTTTTTTTAAAATTTTGGAGTCGGATTCGGATTTAGAGTGAAAAATATCCGATCCGACCCAAAAAAATATAATTTTATCTTATATATTTAAGAATAATTACAATAATACCTCTCTATATATAGTTTTTTTTTCAATTAAATCACTATTTTTATTAATAAAAATAATATTTTTTTATTATTTCGGATCAGATCGGGTTTCTAAGTTATATATCGGGTCGGATGAAATTTTATTTTGATCGGGTTGGGTGGAGGATTCTTTGTTCTCGGGTCGGGTGAACCAAAAACCCGACCCATGCCCATCTCTAAACTATACTCGAACCTTTTCAATGATAGACAATTAGACACCTAAAATTATACCTAAAAAAACACTAGGCATATTTTTAACAAAATAATTCTTTAGACACCAAAAATCAATTTTAAGTATAATTTAAACACTTTTTTTATATTAAACCTAAAATCTAATTATTTTTGTAATATCCAAATTCCAAAGCACATCAAACTTGACAATAAAATATTTCAACCAATAAAAAAGGAAGAAAATTAAATTAAATCACCAAAGTACCAAAAAGACAAATTATCTTCTCCTAAAATAAGATTTTCATAAAAAATATCATAAAAAAGAAATTTCCAAAATAATATATCACCAAGTACAATAACTAGGGATGACAATGGGTCGGGTTTTTGGGCCACCAAACCGACCCGAGAAGAAATGGTACTCCACCTGTGACACAACCCGACGAAATTAAAGTTTCACCCGACCCGAATATATGACTTAGAAATCCGACCCGACCCGAAACAATAACAAAAAATATATTTTTATTCAATAAAAACAGACTTAATTGAAAAAAATTATATATAGATAAGTATTATTGTAATTATCTCTAAATATATAGGGTAAAGTTATTTTTCGGGTCGGGTCAGATTTTTTCCACCTTAAACCCGACCCGAACAGTGCATAAAAAAACCCGACCCAAACCCGATTTTTTTAAAAATCCGACCCGATCGGGTTCGGGTTGAGTTACCATCCCTAACAATAACTTCAAACATAGAAATCATTAGATACAACGACAGGTATAAAGGATGACAAACAAAAAGATCTGATATACAACATTATATGCTTCATTGGTTTACTCCAAAAATGGTAAAAGATGGAAAACATGATCCATACAAGAGATGAACATTAGAACAAATACATAAAAATAGCCTTCCCAAGCTTAATTCCAACATATATACGACTAAAAACGTCATTGCCCACGATACAAAACCTGAATCGACCCGAAATTCTCTGCCTAGCTCAATACAGAAAATGCAGTAGCAAGCGATAAGCTCTGCCTAGCTCAAATACAGAACGTAGAAACAAACAAGAAAGCTCCAGAAACCCTTTACAATTTGATGGATATAAACAGCTTAAACAGAAATCCAGAAATATGTATGTTACATATACGGTTACAGTCGGATCAACAACCCTAAGTACAGTCTGCATCTAGCTTATCTATACCTGTTATAAGCTAACGTATCAATTACAAGTATATACAAGCATGAACAAGTGCTTAAACAAAAACCGGGGAGCATGTTACATCACCAGTCACAGTTGGAACAACAGCCTCATGTTACAATTTGCATCTAGCTCATCTATGCCTATTCTAAGCTCACATATTGATTACCACTTACCAGTGTATACAAGCATGGGGAGAATGTGTTTTACATCAACGGCTACAGTTGGATCAGCAACCCTATGTTACAATTTGCATCTAGCTCATCTGTGCCTATTCTATGCTAACATATATATTACAAGTATATACAAGCATTTACAAGTGCTTAAACAGAAACTGGGGCATATGTATGTTACATCAACAGTTACAGTTGGATTAGCGAGACCCTCTGTTACAATTTTCATCTAGCTCATCTATGCCTATCCTAACCTAACATGATGGTTACAAGTATAAACAAGCATGAACAAGTGTTGGCCTCAATTTCTGCACAAAACTCCTACAAGACACATGGAAAGCTGAATATGGGACGTACAACGAAACAAGGAAAGATGCCATTACAAGATATGGACCTAATCAACAGATTGAATTTACAAGAAAAAAATGCTTTACAAGAAGACTACATATCACCAACATTCCAATTCTTGGATTCAGTTGGATTTACTTTCTTTCCAGAAGTTACAATGTCCTAGCAGGCTCAAATATATATATATATATATATATTGCACACTTGAAAGGGCCAAAGCAAATATCAGAGGCCAATGAAGCCAGCCATACTAACACATCTTCCTCAACAATGAGCTGCCTCATTTTACTCCCTGGATGTGATGATAAAAAGAAACCCCCATGTCAATAGACATTAAAGTGGAAAAGAAGAAGAGAAAGAAAAAGCCACATACCACCCCACAATCCATATGCATTACTCACAAACTGTACAAGAATCACATTATATTTTAATAATAAACAATAGCTGACGACACGAATAGTTCTATAGGCATGATCCTAATATCTATGGATCACAATGACTATGAGCATGACTAAAACTGGAAGCCATAGCATCCTAGGTAAAGCATTGTCTTTTAGACAGTGCCCCCGTCTCAGAGATTGACTTTATCATACAGTTCTTTAGAACACAATGAACCTTAAATTCCATGGTTAAAAGATAGCAAAAAAAGTGAAAAAAAGACAGAAGAAAGGAAACAGAAGGGTTAGAGGAGAAACAAAATAAGGGTATACTCTACGCCATCCTTCTTTCTATTGGTGCTCTAACAAAAATGCCTTTTCTGCTGAAAATTGACAGACATCCACAAGACCAAATTGCAACAGAATGGCTTTGCATGGGGAAGACCTAAACCCATCTCACATATATCATAAATCACCAAAACTTTAGGTTCAAATATTTGAAAGGGGAAAAGAAAAAATCAAACAGCAATATTGAAAGCATATAGAAAATGATATGCATGCAGAAAAGAACTAAGGAACAAAATGATGAAGTAACCAGATCACAAGCTAGAAATATTTTTTATCCACCAAGAATACAAACATAACACAAGAATGTTTCTAAAGAACAAATCCCAACAATCATATGAACAAGAAGATTTTCTAAGCATCATGATCACAAGCCAAGTAAGCATTCCCTCAAATAAGTGTTCTGAGGATAATTATAAACACAAAGTTGATATTCAGCTGTAGGATGTTAGGATTCCAACCCCACAAAGAATATCTCCATTAAATAAAAATACTACGTTTTCCAAGTTCCAACATACGAATACTAAGTTTCTTCATCTAATAGTCGTTCTTAGAATGCAGTAAGAAACGAAAAGGGAAGTCTATTCTTCCCATGACCACATAGCACTTACTACTACCTTTAAGAAGCCACGTTCTGCATAGGGATCAACAATCATCACAAAGAATGCTGGAATGATATAGCAACCAAGTCGAGGGAAACTGAGAGCAAAAGCTTAATTAGAAATCTCATAATAGAGAGTAAAGAAACATTCTCAGCATAGTTTGTCACTCTGATGGTAGGCGTCTCTTCTTCCCATAGTCCGCCTCCCTTGATCTAGACTTGTGCTCTTCTTCTCGGGTTGCATGGGACCTTCCCCGAGATCTTGAAGAAGATTGTCCCCTATCCCAGCCATCACCATAATCCAGGTCACGTCCACGATGTCTATTCTCTCTGTAGCTGTCTTTTTCTTCCCTGTAACGGTGCTCCCGTTCAGACCTGTCCACTTCCCGTTCCTTCTCATCATGATGCCTCCTCTCTGAGTTTCCAGACCACTCACGCTCAGAAACTCGCTCTTTTTCCCGAGTGGCACCACTTGACCTTCCTTTTTCATGATTCGCATCCCCATACCCATGCTCTGAAGCACCATCTTCACCACCATAACTAGACTCTCTTGTCCTACGATCATGCTCATCACCTCCCCACCCACCCATGTTTGAGTCAGTCCACATTCCAGAACGAGGCCCATCCATTCCAGAAACACCCATCATTCCCATTCCGTTAGGTGCCATTCCACGACCAAAGAAAGCAGGATTGACATGAGGAGCAACACCAGCTAGTCCCATTGTATTAACAGCTGGAAATGAAGGAAGCATACTCGGAAAACCTGGTCCTGGGAAACCTCCATAACCACCTCCTCGACCCATATATGTTGGATCAAACACAGCACCCATCATACCCTGTGGATGCATCATGCCACCAGCAGGACCACCAAATCCAGGACCTCCCAGTACTGGTCCATAGGCCCCAGCACCATAAGCACCATTTCCAACTCCGGCCGAGCTCCCAACCATGTTCTTTACACCTACAGCTCCCCTTCCCCTCATAGGTCCTCCACCGCCACCTCGACCGACACCTTGACCACCCCGCCCCCAGCCACCCCTTCCATAGCCCCTTCCTGTATCCCCGCCTTGGTAATTCATATTACCACCTCTCCCAAAACCTTCATTTGGCCTCCTTCCCTGAGGCTGTACTTGAGGCTGACCTTGGTCTTTGTTTGTATAAGAAGCTCCCATCTGCTTCAATGTTTGTGGTGAAGCAAAAGCCACAACACAAGCTCGTCCATTGAACATATAACTATTCATTCCCTCTTTGCATGCAGCTGCAGACGCAGAATCATAGAACTCAACTTGACAATACCCTTTAGATTTACCACTAGCTCTCTCATCAAAGAACTTAATATCCTTCACCCTTCCATATTGAGATAAAACACACTCAAGCTCAGCATCAGTTGTCCACCAATGTAACTCACCAACATAAAGCACGGTTGGACCATTTTCTATAGATGGTCTAACCTGATTTTCATTCATCATAGGATGATTTGCATTCATACCCATTTGATTATGTTGAACTGGAGAAGCTCCTTGAGGACCACCAGCACCTGAATTTAGGGATATAGCAAGGTTGTTAGCAATCGTTTGAGGCACACCAGAAGGACTGGTCCTCCCAACCTTAGAGGATGCTGAAGTTAATCCTTGAAAACCCATATTTTTAACTTGGGTATCGGGGTTCATCTCCATGACACCGCCCCCTTGTGAATTGGTAGACCCAAATGGATAACTTCCAGATCCTATATCTGGTCTGTTAACAGCTGGTTGCCCCTCTGGTTCACGATAACTGGCACTAACATTGGCGTACTTCCCTTGAACTGAAATTCCGGAGATGTTCAGCCCTTGTGGATCCCCAGCTTCACCTCTTGGTTCAGGAGCCTCATTTTTATGAGCTTGAAGTCCAGCACTGCCCATGCCAGCTGGTTGAGCAGGTGCCTCAGATCGTTGCAACTGAAGAAAACCTTCTCCAACATTAACATCATTGTAGAGATCATCGTATTCATCATCCTCCCCAATCATCTCTACATCTGCAAGAGCAGGTATGGTTCCACTCCCTTGATAATGAGTCTTTTGTGCCCCTCCGTACTCCTCGTCTCCAAAATCTACTTGCTCTTCAGCCATTGCTCAATTAACTTTTAACACATCAAAAGTGATGGGGAAAAAGAAAGAAGTGGTTATTCCTAATCCCAACATTATGAAACCAAAGACATAAGGAACAACATAACTTCAAATATATATCAAACATGTCAAGAATACATGAATTCCAGAACAAATGTAATAAAAAAATCCATAGGGAAAAAATAAAACAAATAAAAAACCCAAGTTATAGAATGCTATAAAACAGATAAATTTCATTTAGACAGCTCTCAAAGTCAATGGTACCAACCATGATAGAAAACTAAAAAGGGAAAGAATTATAAAATACAATAAAACCAGTAAATGGAAAGAAAAAATAAAGAAGACCCGCTACGGATCATCATGATCTATAGGTATTATTATGATTTAAATGGTTTTTATTTATCTTACTTTTGCCTCTACTATTCTCTTCTCTTCAACTCTATCTTAAGCCTATTACCAAAGAACAAATAAAAAAGCGGATCGAAGATCGAATCAATCGGCCACCGGTTTTGATACAAGAACATAAAATTAGAAACAATTAAGCTAATTTCACACAAAAAATCAGTGAAATCATAACCACGATAATAGCACTAACAACATCAATCATAAAGGGCAAGTTCCATTTTTATCTAAAGAATCTGAATGCCTTTTATATTGGGACTGAATAAATGATAAAATTTCCCTTAATAAACCATATATACATATAATTCCGGGTTAAAAAAACAAGAATCTAACCTTGATATCTGAACAAAGAACAGCTGAGGGAAGAAGTTAGACACCTGCTACCCTCTGAGGATTTGCTTGAAAATGGAAAGAATGGGGGAAATCAAAGCGCAAAAGCCGATGCAGCCTGATCCGATAATGCCCTAAGCAAAGCAGTGAAGCCGAGAAGGGCTTACCAAAAATGATGCTCCAAAAGTTTAAAAGCCTAGTGGATAAATTTTTTGGGCCTTGTATGTTTTTTAGGGTAAACTACACATTTAGTACCTAAACTACTAATTTTAATCTATTTTAGTATCTAAACTTTTAATTTTTTAAAACCATACCTAAAATTTAGTTGTTGTTTCATTTTAATATCCCACCATTTAAAACTTTAGTTTTTGTTTCAATTTAATACACTGTTCAAAATTTAACTTTAAGTTTTGAATAAATTAAAAGTTTAGATACTAAAACATACCAAAATTGATAGTTTAGGTATTAAATGCATTAAGTTTTTAATGGTGAGATACTAAAAAGAAATAAAAATTAAAGTTAAATTATAATTGAATTGTGATAATGTTAGTTTATCGATGATGTACAATTTTATATTAACATTAATGATAATTATCTTTAATAGCTAATAGTGATGTTTATGAGTAATTTATATAATTCAATGATTTTAATGAAAATGATCCATTAATGTGATTAACTTTTAAATTGTTTTATCATTCCTATAATTTTGTTGTACTCTCTTTTATTCAATGAACTAATCATTATCATTAATTAAAAATATGTTTTTTTAAAAAATTGATAAATAAAATAATCTTAATTATGAAGGTTAGTTCACGTTAATCAAGTTTAATTTAATTTTAAAAAATATTAAAATAGTATATACATTGGCGATATATATTTTAAAATTACATTAAATCAAATTGTTGAGGTCAGGGACGGACACAATATTCTATGTTAGAGGTTGAATTTAAACTTATAAAATTTTAAGAGATAAAAACTAATTTTAAATAAAAATACATTAAAAAATCTAAAAAATATGATAGTTTAAATTTTTTAGGGAGCTACTATCCCACTCTTTGGTCTATCGCTTGTTGCCACTAGGGTTGTGCAAATTCGGATATCAGATACAATCTGAAAATTCAGATATTCGAAAATTTCAGATACTTAAAATAGTGATATGTATTCAATCCGAAAAATCGGATATTCTAATTGTTATTAGGTTAGAGCTTTTAATGAGTTAGTGAGTTATTCATTTATTAGGCTATAGGTATGTAAAATCTAAAATCTCAATATATTTTTGGATTATCTGAAATTTTTTCAAATATCATACCTGAATTATCCGAAAAATCATAAAACAGATCGAATATTCGAATTTTCAGATCAAATTACTGGATCAACATATCGAATTGATCAGATATGATATTTTTGCACACCCTAGTTGTCATCCGATCCAAAGATGATTTTACAGTTTTATTGGTTTGCATGTGTTTGTTGCTTTGAGTGCATGTTGTCCAACGCAAATGCACATGGGCAACCCACATGATTCCACCACCACCACACCACCGCCGTCCTCCTCCCACCTCCCAAACCACCGCTTTTCGTCACCTCCAGCACACCCTGGATTATTCCTCCCCCGTAAACCTTTCCAAATTCAATGCACATAAATCGGTTTCATGTAAATCGTGGTATCATTGGCTTTCCGCCACGTTTTCAAACATATATAAATTATGCTCACAATTAATTCGAGTTCAGCTACAAACCCTAATGATTACAATTCGGCTGTTTTTTTTTACAAGAAACCTACTAAATTGAGATCTACCTAAGATTTTATGTTAGGAAATGAATTTAAACTTTTAAAATTTTATAACGTGAATTTAAATTTATAAAATTTTAAAAAACAAAAATAAACTTAAAAAATATATAATAATTTTAAAATTTCAAAGAAGACTAAACGTAAAATTACTGGACACATGCATGGAGATGAAGACTGCAAGGTGTCACTGAATGTGTGAACAAAACGTTGACGTTTTAGATAGTAATGTTGGGAAAAAGTGGAATTTAGTTAATTATTTTCTTTTCTTTTTCTGACATTCATGAACCCATGCTGTTTTCAATCAAAACAATAATGATTGTTTTGTTAAGGCATTGCAAAGATCATGTTCGAACATGTTCTGAAAGAAGGTACTTACGAAGGAATTGATGATGGTGACAAATGTTAGATACAGAGATACAGATACATGAATTTATGTTAGAGAATATGAATTTGATTTTTTAAAATTTAAGAGAAGAGATTTAAATTTATAAAATTTTAGAGAGACAAAAACATGTTTTTAATAAAAAAATATACACATAAAATCTAAAATATAAAATAATTTTAAATTTTCAAAACGACGACTATTCCAGTATGTTTCTTTTGTCTATCCCTTGTTAGGGACAAAGATACTTGCATATGTGTCACTATCACACCATGATTTTCATTGGTTTTGATTTAAATTAAATTTTAATTAATTATGAGGACCAAATCGTAAAATTTTTTGAAAACTTGAGGTCAATTTTTGATAATTACAGGAAGCTCAGAGACCTAAGCTGGAATTATCTCATCGGTCTTTAACTTTAAAAAAACTATAAGGGGGTGTTTGGTTCAAGGATTGTGGGATTCCAATGGGATGGGAATCCCACATTCCCATGTTTGGTTGGCCAGGAATCTTATTCCCGGTAATGTTTTATTACCAATAGTAGATTTTTTGGGATATATTATCAGGAATGTCATTACCTCCCTTCCCTTAGGTATTGTAACATTACCAGCGTTTTGGACTAAAATGCCCTTAAATTTTTATTTTTTTTCAAAAATATCCTTCTTCTGTCATTGAATAATAAAAATTCTACGAATGTTAAATTACAAATTTATCCTTAAATTATTTTAGATTTATAAAAAAAAGTCTGTAATTAAAATTTTATATGAAGTTCAGGGGTTAAAAAAATTTTACCCTTTCATTAAACATTTTTTATATTTTTAATTTTGTAAAAAAAATTATATAAATATTATGAATTTAATTTTTTAAAGAAAATATATAAATATTTTACAATTTGTAATATTATACAAATATATAATAAAGACAATTTGGTCAAATATACATTCCAATAATCTTTTATTCCTTTAACCAAACACGGTAATCTTACATTCTTGCTAAACCAACCAAACACAAAATACAACATTCCCAGTAATCCTATTCCCTGGTAATCTTTTATTCCCACTGGTAATCTTACATTCCGTGAACCAAACGCACCCTAAGGGTTTGACGGGATTGAGCCCGTGAACAGAAGAAGTAATAGTGCCCAAGCCCTATCGTTTAGGCTAGAGCACTATTCTAATATATTTTATTAAAAATATGTGTTATAGTTAATTATTCTGGATTTTAAATTCCAGATTATTTCTTTCTCATTGGATTGAAACCAAACTTTAAAAAAAATTAAGACAGGTTTCCCAAACCTGTCGCCCCCTTCACTAATCTCTGGCCAGCGGTGGAGTGCACCGCTACCACCATTTGTGTTAGCGTAGAATTAAATTTTCTAATATAATAATGGGAAAAGTATACAAATGGTCCCCTAACTATAGGATACTTTTTTTATTAAGTCCATCGACTATTAGAAGTTATAAAATGGTCCTTCGACTACAGAGTATTGCTTTATTGAGTCCCTCAACTATTAAAAATTACAAAATGGTCATTCGGTTATTCATTATGTCCCAACCTCGTCCTTTTTCGTTAAAAAATCGATGGTCATTTGAACTGGACGTTAACATTATGGCTAAAATATGATAGGTGTTTGAGATTTTATGATTATATTTTTAATCAGCAAGTTAACGTTTAACTCAAAATCTGTCAATTTTTTAATGGAAAAGGACGAGTTTGGAACATTATGAATAGTTGGATGACCATTTCATAACTTTTAATAGTCGAGGGAGTCAACAAAACAACACACTATAGTCGGATGACCATCTTATAACTTTTAATAACTGAGGAACGTAATAAAATAATACCTTATAATTGGGAGACCATTTGTTTACTTTACCCATATTCTTTTATGAATTTTACTGTCATATATTTATTATCGGTATAACAAAGAGAACAATAATTGAAGTTTCTTGTTGGTATATTAAAATTAGGGTTTGGATTTTATTGGATTGTTATCCTCCCTAAATGCTCTATTTTAAAATATAGAATTTAAGATTTAAAATTTAGGGTTAGAACTTATAATGCGTAGGAGTTTATGATTTAGAGTTTCTTGTTCAAATAGGTAGAGTTGTGTAAACTTACTCATATAAATAATAAAAATATATAATTAAAAATTATTATATATGAATATTGTGTAAACTAAAATTTAGACAATTATCTCTTTTTGATGTCATGTTTCATATTTAGAGTGTAATATTTTAAGGTTTATACTTTTAAATTTTAATATTTTAAGGTTTGTGATTTTAAATTTTAAATTTTAAATAAAATTTATATAAGATGTGTATTATTCTATATATCTTAATATTAATAAAAGGGTACACGAAGTCCTGTACTTTTAAAAGAATTAATGTGATTCTCGTACTATTTTTTTAATATAACCCTCAAATTCAGAAGAAAAAAAACATAATGTGGCCATTGATTAGTGTTTTCCGTCATTTACCAACATTAGTGTAAGTCATTTACTATTAGGATGCTCTAAGTCAACCATAAGTTTATGCAAAAACCATCTCCATAATTCTTTTCATTCCCCTTCAACAACTGCCCATGCAACCAGAAAACTGATTATTTTATTATATGCTATAAGTTGTATTCTCTTCGTAACTGATTTGAGAAATCAACCACGTCAGCAGGAATTAATGGAGTCGTTGGTCAATGATAGAAAACGTTTGTCAACTGACAACATTGAGTTTTTTTAGTTGGATGACCACATTGAAAAAAAAATAGTATGAATGTCACATTATTTTTTTTTCAAAAGTACATGGACTTCGTGTATATTTTTGCTTTTAATATTTTTATCTTTTGACATTAAAACTAGTCCATGGCACAACGGCCCCCAAATGTTAATACACGTAACAGGGTTTTTTGGTCCATTAGGGCACTCGATTTTTATTTTGGGATTTATATCATTTTTTACGTTGTTCATGAAACTTGTAACATCGAGGTGATGAGTTACAGTAAAAAAATATTTTTATTTAAACTCATCACCTCAAAGTGACGAATTCTAATAAAATATATTTTTATTAAAATTTATCATATCAAGATAAAAAATTTGAATAAAAATATTTTTTATTAAAATTCATCACCTTGACGAGTTTAAGGTACAATAAAAATTACGTTCATCTTAAAATTAAAATAAAAGTGCCTTTGCCCTGCCCTATTTTTCACATTTTTTCCGGGCTGCCATATTGGGCCAAAAAACCCCACGTAACAGAAGTTAAAAATATAACCTTTGAAGTTGATCAACGGATCATCTGGATCCGATCCATATATCTAGAGACTGATTGTAGAAAAATAGAAACGTCTAGAAAAGTTTGGCGCGTGGAATTTTGAATTCGGAGAAAAACAATTTTGGGATTTTAGGGTTTTACTCTTATTTTTCGTTTCCCAATTGAACCATTAGGGTTTTAATACATCCCCAAAATCAGAATGTAACTTTCCTTTTCTTCTCATTTTATTGAAATCAGTTATTTTTGTTTGTTAATTTGACTTATAAAATGCATGATATTGTTTGTAGGGATGTAGTTAAATTGCAAATTCGGTGTCCTCAATCATTTAATGGAGTCGGTCTTGAACCCGACCCGGATTGGAGTTTCAGTACTCTGTTATCGGAGCTTGATGCCTTGGAAAAGAAGCTCAATATCTCTTCTTCTACCGTTCCTTTGCCTTTAACAAAAGTCAAATCAAGGTTTTTTTTTTTTTTTTTACATTTCCGTCTTTGTATTCTATGTTATTGTATCAGTTGAATTAAACAATTTGTTTTTCTTTCTTTCAATGGATGGAATAGAGAATTTTATGGAGAAAAAGGTACCAAGAGAAGCTCAAATGCTTTTGTAATGAGAGTATCTGATGAGGAGTTTGAGGATAGTGAAAGTGACGATGAGGAGGTTTATGATCATGATCGAGGATTAGTGAAAGCTTCTCGATTTCAGTGCGATGAAGTTTATTTAAGGTATGGATTAGGTATAACCCATTTGTTTTTATTTGTTAAATATGAAGACTTTTTATTTTTGTTGAAGAAATGAAGACTTTATCTTAGTTTGTTGATCAAGGAGATAAGTTTTCATTTTTTTTCCTGTAAAATTGTTTAACTTTCAGTAGTAGCGAGGATGAAACTGATGATCAGCAGCCTTGTCTTGATGTCCGACCCTACTTGATGAATGAGGTGGGGTTGATGGAGAGTGCCTTATATGAGTTAACCAATGCGCATCAACTTGGAGTTAAGGTTTGTCAAATTAACTCATCTTGAAGAGAGCTTAAGTTTTGTGCTTTTTGTATTGTGTTCGTTTGAACTTTATCTTTTTCTTTCATGTGTATCTCATTGTTTTCTGTAGTTCATTTATGGATTATGATATGAATTTGGAATTGACTTTACTACAGGAGGAAATTAGAAATGCAATCTCTGCATTAGAGACAGATTTGACGAATGAGAGTGAGAAGTCTTCCTCTGCACATACTAAAGTTGAGAAATATAGAGATGCAAGGCGGGAAGTGGAGAGGAAATTTGATATTCAGTATCAGCGCAGAATGTAAGTAGGCATTTCTCTTGTTATTTACTCAGATATTCATTACGGAATTACAATTTCAGAACTGGGTCTTGTTGCCACCCCCTTTCTTTTTTCCATTTTTTTATTGAGGCTGCATGAATATAATGCTCTATTATAGACATGCTGTTTTGGAAACCATTTCTTAACATTTCATGAAATTACTACAGTGCAGAAGGACTTGATAATCACTTGACTGATGTCCAGCGGGATCATGAATTCAAATCTCAAATCGAGGAAAGGAGAATACGAAGTGATGCAGCACATGAAGAGGCCAAGAGAAGGGAAAAGGCTCTTCAGGAAGAAAGACTACGACAAGAAAAGGCCAAAGCAGAGGCAGAGGTTTGTTTGCACAACCCCTAGTATGTAGTTATTAGACCTCTAGCATTTATGGTCTTGAACCTTATGGTATAGGGGCGTTACTTAGTGCAAACTTCAATTTTTGAACTGACTGGATGTTTGTAGGATGTGGAATCTCTCATTTGCAAGGTTATCATGCATATAACTGAATTTTGAAGAAAACTTGTCTGATTGACCTTTAAAAGGAATTGGCTATTATAGAGTTCAAAGAATAAATGAAAATAAAAATAAAAAATGACAAATGACATGGTTCAATTCATTCATTCATTGACGTACATCCATGTATGATAAATGGTCTTGTTATTTTGTATCCTGTCGTAATATTGTAAAGAACAATTTGATGGCATAAGTACATAAGAAAATAGCAATATGATAAATGGTCTTGTTATTTTTGTATTTTTTTATCTTTGTAGTTTTTGATGGTGTTCTTACGCTTTTCTGATAGTAGATATCTGCTTCCATTTGTGAGCCCTTTTTGTAGCAGAAATATTATTTATTTGCAGAAGCATTTATTTGTCTAGAAACAGATATATTTTCATTACTTTAATCCTTTTAGAAACTATTTCCATTTTATAGGGTTTCTTATTTCAAGGATATTTCCTTTATGATTAAGAAATTTATATATTAAGTGCAGGCCAAACTTAAAGCTGAGGAAGCCAATAGAATTGCTTTGGAAGCTGAGAGGATAGCAGCAAAAGAAGCTGCAGAAAAGGAAGCAGCTAAAGCCTCCAAAGCTACTACTTCTGAAGTGCCACAAATGGAAGCTTTAGGAGGTCGAAATGCTACTAGTTCAGGAGCTTTAATTGCTCAGCCCAAGGGATCTGAGAATGATAAAACAAATAAATCACAATCAGCAGGTATATTTGTTTTTTTTTCAGTCTAAAGCTGTGCATATTTGCTAATGAGCATACTTACAGAACCCTGAACTTAAACACACAGAAACATACAAGACCTCTGTTCTTGTAATTTCATCGCTATCCATGTTTCTAATGAGTGGTTGCTTGTTTCTAGACATATTCTTTATGCTGTCCATATTTTGTTCGAGTTTTTGCACTTCATAGATTTCATCACCGGCATGCCCTTTGTAAATGCAGATGTATGTGTGTTTCTTTGTTATGGAAAACGAGATTTTTGTTCCAGGCAGTCCTTTAATGTGTCTCTCATGTCTATAATTTATCTGAGCCAACTGTCAATGTGGCAGGTAATATGCTCAGGGCTGCAGAGAGCGCTTTAAACCTAGAGAGGGAAAGGATGCAAAAATTAAAAGAGTTAAAAGAAATAAACCAATCACTGAGATCAAGTTTAAATCAGGTATTTCTTCCATCCATGTTTGATTTGCAGCTTTGGGTTCTGTTACCTTGTAAGTTTATAAATATTCTGTAAACTCCTACTTTCCTTCATTTTCTGGTATTGAACTGCAAACTACTTACATTTAGGATATTGTTGAAATTATAATTTTGGAAGGTAAATTATTGTTTTAGTACTTGTCAAAAAAGTACGAAGTAAGTTACTAGGAAAAAAACAGGGTCATTATGTAGATATGTGGGCCATGTATTTGTATTATACCATTGGAAAGTGCTTTAGACTTGTTATCATATTTTCTCTATCCGTATTAATGTATCTGGCACTGAATTTATTCAGTGTCTCAATTTGTTTGTATGCATTGATCGATTGGTTAACCTTTTTTTTCTTCTGTTTTTAGGATTTTGGGAGCACCGAAAGGCATATTGGTAGGTTGATAAGACAAATAAGGGGTACTAAAGATAATGTTAGGTAAGTTGGTTGTGTTAAATTTTGTGGTAGTTACTCTGTCAAGTTTGTTATATTTTTCTGCATTGTGACTTATGTTTGTTTCAAGTAGAGTTTTAGAATCCGCAGTTCCATAATGCTGTTAGATTGATAACTCTATATGTAAACAATATTTTGCAGCACAAAAGCCAGTGAGCTTGTAAAGATTTTCAACAATCCTGGTTGCCCTCAAACCATAAGCATTGCGTCTTTTGCCAAGAAGGTAATGACAATTTCTCAGCACTAAATGACACGTCATTCTCAAGTAAATGTACAAAACGTCTTAACCATTAAAAATGCGAAGTTCGAATCTGGTTCTACTTAGAAAGCTTATATAATCCTTTTCAATGAAACCAAATACACACAACTTGAGAAAGTGGCCTATTCTCTAATGAAATAACCAAGTAATGTAGCCGTGACCATGTGTGGAATTAATTCAGTCTTGAATCTCAAATCTAAATATTATCTGTTAGTGGATCAACAATTGTAGTTCTTTAATGTTTTGACCGCAACAAATAATTATTCTGCTTCCAGATTGTATTTTGAAAATCCTTATGGTTATGGACATGCCTTTCTGTGTTGACACTTTAGGTTGTTTCTCACTGTGAAAGCCCTGATAATTCTCCCTTTGCCTGTGGGTATGTCATTGTCCTCGTAACATCACAGGTATATCTTTTACAGTTCCTTTCTTTTTGGGTTTGGCTTGGGAGGGGTTGGGGCTTCCCACCGATCTTAAATTCGGAAATTTTGATTTTAAAATAAAAATAATCTTTGTTTTCCCAGTTCCCACAAGCAGCGGATGCAGTTGTTGCTGAGCTACAAAGAGCTTGCATTTACACTGTCCCAAAGCATATATCATACTCCAAGGTAACTCTTCAACATTTGTAGGGCATATTTTTTTATCCTTTTGCTTGCCGATGTGCCATACACTAGCTCTGCTTTTTTGACATGTGTAATCATCCAAATTACTCGCTTTCACACTGTTAAGAATTTACACACCTTTGACCTTTACATGTTAATTTTTGGCTGAAATATCTGGTTCGGTCTGTTTAGTTTTAAGCCTTGTTTACCTAGTTGATCTTCTGGAAAGGTTAAACATGAATAATTTGATTTGTGTCTGGTGTGCGTCCCCACTATTCTTTTTGCTGCCGCTCCTAATGTTATATGTAATTCTTAGTTGTTATTTGCTATTTCAGTCAGCATTTGAATCCAAAGAAGCTTATTGGAAGGCTCTTGGATTCCGAGAGGACGATGGCAAGATTGAAAGTAAAAAGGACTATCTGAAACGGCTGGAATCCTACATGAAGCTGTATGGGGCACTGGTTCAGGTATGTTAATGGTCATATCCAAAAGAAAGTTTCGTTTCACTCCTTATAAAGCACATGGATTCTTTTGTTCTCTATGGTTGTAGCATCGTGACTCACTAAAAACGAACCTGCTAACTGGGATTTTTCATTAATGGCAGACCGAGGGTCGCCAAAATGTTCATGGCCTAAAGGAAGGTTGGGCATGGCTTGCTAGATTCCTAAATGCACTCCCTGCCAATATTTATACTGCTGTGGCTTTGAACGCATTCCTACAAGTTAGTTGGATTTCTCTCGGTTTACTTTTTGCATCATACCGGAAACTTAGTACTAATAAAACTAATACAGAGCTAACGTGCTCACTGAGAAATTTCTTTCGGATTAACGGTAGATATATTTGTTTTTACAGGTGACAGGTTTTGCTCTCTACAGAAAATACAAATCACAGTTCGTGAAATTGCTGAACATCGTCTTGGAGAACTTTCTAAGTGCCTTGAGATCACAAGAAGATCCGGAGCTGAGGCCGATTATGGCCGAAATTCAATCCTATTTGGAAGACAAGAAATTCCTTGAAGAACCAGAGGGAAGGACTTTGCAGGGTTCTTTGCTATCGAGTGTAATGGTGCCGGACTCGGATTACCAGGCCCCGTCGTATTATCAACAGGGTAGGAACTACTTCTGAACGAATCGAGCTGAGAAATCATTTGTAAAGAGTTTTCCAAAAGCACATACGAGTACAAAGCTACTCTATTGATGCCCAAATGTTCTGGGGAAGAAAAGGGTTAAGATTCTTATGCTCATACTGTATTTGAATGTTTTTATGTACTATAATTTATTATATTTAAAATAAAAATTGATACGTCAGACATTCATATCAAATAAATTTTGAAAGTTTTTCAACGAGTTTGAACTGAAAGAAATCATCAAACGACTACAGAAATGATAACTGTAAATATTAGTTTTTTTAGAGTTCTTTAACGTGTCATGACAATTGTCGTTAATGATATAATGATTAAAATGAAAGTTTTTATTACAATGATGAATCTAATGAAAAAGTTTCAATTTGGGTGACCAAAGTGAAAGCATTCTAAAATTCCATCGACTATTAGTGTAATTTACATTCCAACGTGTCTACAACAAGTCCATAATCATAGGGCTCTACAACAAGTCGAAAGAAAAAATCGATCCAGTGATCAACCGAGACACCATGAGTTATCTAAAACTGCTGGAGGAACTTGTGAACTTCTTGCAGCCAAGGAGATATCTTATTGTGATCGATGATGTTTGGAGCACCAATTTGTGGCAAGATATCAGCATAGCACTTCGTGCCAATACGAAGGGAAGTCGAATCTTGCTCACTATGCTGAAGGAGGACGTTGCTTCCTTCGAATTTGGAGTTGTAAAGCATATCTTTCCCCTTAAACACTTGCCGTTTGATGATAGTATAGCCCTTTTTTGGAAGAAAGCTTTTGTTGGCAAAGGTGGACACTGCCCACCATATCTTGAACCTTCAGCAAGAAAGCTGGTTGCAAAATGTCAAGGCTTGCCATTAGCTATTGTGGCCTTGGGCGGTTCGATGGCTTCCAAGAACTCGATTGCTGAATGGAATGGAGTTTATAACAAGAAGTGGGGAGCTAAGTGAAAATGATACATATTTTGAAAGGCTCAAGTATATTTCATTTCTTAGCTACCATGATTTGTCTTACACACTTAACCAGTGTTTCCTATATTGTTGCATATTCCCGGAAGATTATGTGATAAGACGTAAAAGGCTCATCAGACTTTTGATGGCTGAAGGCTTTGTTGAACCGCTAAACGAAACACTTCCAGAAGTTGTTGCAGAGAGATACCTATCCGAATTGATTTACAGAGGCTTACTTCAAGTTGTATTCAGAAATGAATCAGGGAGACCCAAAGCATTTAAGATGCATGACATTTTGCTGGAGTTCGCTATTTCCATATCAAAATCCATAAAGTTTGTTGCCAAATTTGATGGGAAAGAAGAAGTGGAAGACGATGGAACCCGTCGTTGGTCAATTGAAGCAAAGGAGAATGAGATGAAAGTTGCAAGTGACACTGCACTATCTCGGGTTCGTTCATTATTTGTTTTTACTGTCAACGAAACCTCTAAATCCTCCTTCAATAGACTGCCATCTGGTTTTAAATTGATGAGAGTGTTGGATTTGGAAGACACTCCAATCAAGGAACTCCCAGATGAATTGGTGGATTTATTCAATCTGAGATATCTTAACCTAACAAGAGAAAGAGCTTCCGAAATCCATGGGCAAGCTTTACAATTTACAGTATCTAATGATGAAGGAGACTCAAATCAAAGTGCTTCCTGCAGGAATTGTGAAGCTGAAGAATCTTCGACTTATTATTGCTTATGGCTCCAACTACAATGTAAACCCATTGGCATTTGACTATTGGTTTGGCATAGTAGTTCCATCTAACATTTGTTTGCTAAGCAGCTTACATGTTTTGACCTTGGTGGAAGCAAGAGGTGATTTCATCAATCAGCTCAGCAAAATGGTACAATTGAGAATGGTTAGCGTTGCCAATGTTAGGGAAAGTGACTAGAAAAGTTTGTGCTTTGCCATTTAAAAGATGATACACCTTCGAGACTTGAAGATTATATCATGTAATGAAGATGAGCAAGTGAAGATGGATGCACTTGAGTCAGCTCTGCCTGACCTTCAGAAACTTGCACTAACTGGGAGATTGGAGAAGATGCCGTACTGGTTTAACTCACTCGATAACCTCACAACTTTGAATTTATATTGGTCTAGAGACCGGGATGATTTTCTCCCTCACATCCAAGCTTTGCCTAATCTTGGAAATCTCGGACTACCAAATGCATACGAGGGAGAGCGATTAGACTTCCTTGAAGGATTTCAAAAGCCTAAGGTTTTAAGAATTGGAAAATGCCCCAGATTGAAAGAAATTGTGATCGAAAAAGGAATGATGCCTGGTCTTCAGGGGTTGTTGATGGTCGAATGCCAGGAGTTCACGACATTGCCGGATGGTTGGGAAAGTCTACCTGACCTAAACCAAGTTCATTTGTATGGGGTCTCACCTGAGCTTATTCAGAACATATGCAGATCAAAAGGGATGGATCAGCGAAAAATTATATCCATCCAATTAGGTAGACAAGAAGACACTGAAGCCGAATTCAAAATAACGGGATGGTTTGAAGAATCCTTCGAGACGTAAGTAGCACTACATTCAATATTCATTCATTCGGTTTACTCTACCTAACTGCCTGAAAATGTTTTCCTTTTCTATTTCAGGTTGGTGCAAGCAATCCATGATTGATGATTCCAGAGCCTTTGTTCATTTGTTGTTGCAGAATAAAGCCCAGGGCTTATGTCTTATGTTTTGAAGAATGTTTTGTGTTTTGCTGTAAAATTGTCATCTTTCTCTATATGTTGCTGTTGTTTTCTTGGTTTTGATAATATTATTTGCTTTTTATACATGAGGCTATGATCATAGCCTCAAGTCTTGCTGCTATTTTTGTGTGTTTTCAGCAAGAAGCTTTGATTTGTCTCTAAGCTCCTCCTGCATTGTGAGGCTGAAAAATCTTCAACACCTTATTGCTTATGGTTACACTGCATCCGGCGGTGCGATTGGCCCGGTAGTTCCATCCGACATTTGTTTGCTAAGCAACTTACATGTTTTGGCCCCGCAAGAGGTGATGAAGGTAGTTCCATCCAACACTTGTTTGCTAAGCAACTTACATGTTTTGACCTCGCAAGAGGCGATTTCATCATACAACTCAGCGAGATGGTACAATTGAGAAGGCATCACGTTACCAATGTGATGAAGGCAACTGAAAATGGATGCACTTGAATCAGCTCCCCTGATCTTGAGAAACTCGTGTTAGCTGGGAAATTGGAGAACGTACCGCACTGGTTTAACTCGCTCGAAAGCCTCAGTCGATTGTCTCTAGGCGAGTCTAGATTGAGGGGATGATTTCCTCCCACACATCCAAGCATTGCCTAATCTCGGAGAACTCATACTACAAAATGTATATTCCGGAGATCATGATTGGGGAAGTCTACTTGATCTAGATTTTCCAATTTCATCCCCAAATTCATCTGAATATGTAATTCATTTCAACCATAGTTTAACCTAAATTTTTTTTCCAAACATTTAATAATATAACTTGGCCTAATGATTTATTAACAAGAGATGTGATTAGTATATACATATAATTTAGGATAAAATTGAAATATTCAAAAAAATTAGGGACCAATTTAGAATGAGAATCATAGTTTGGGGATGAAAATAATATGTTCAAAAGTTTGAGGACTAATTTATAATGATAATCATAGATTAAGGATGAGATTGAAATGCTTAAAAGTTTAGGGACCAATTTAAAATAGGGGTCATAGATTGGGGACTTATGGTGCAATTATCTCTAGAACTAAATATTATATAAAATAACAAGGTATTCAAATAACAATTTTTAAAATTTTAATAAGGGACACTTCAATTGATTTTTTTAAAAAATAGCTTTTTTAAAGAAGATAAAATCTATAATTAATTTTAATGTATTTTTAGGAGGTATAATTAAATTTCAATGATGATATATTATTATAAATATGTTTACAATATAGTTTGAGAGGTTGGTTCCTTGCAACGAATATGGTGACGAGGGTGTCTGGCATTTAGGGATGGGTATGGGTCGGGTTTTTGGTCCACCCGACTTGATCCGAGAACAAAGAATCTTTCACCCGAAACCTAACCCGACTCGACCCAACCCGAAATAATAATAAAAATATTATATTATTCAATAAAAATAATGACTTAATTGAAAAATAATATATATAAAGGGATATTATTGTAATTATTTCTAAATATATAAAGTAAAATTATATATATTTTTTGGGTCGGATCGGTTATTTTTTATCCTAAACTTGAATCCGACCCGACCGATCGGGTCGGAACCCGTCGACTTCGAGCCCCATGCCCATCCCTAGTGGCATTATTCACCTCCGATGGTTCCTACACGCAGTCTTGTTAACGGTGATGATGAGCTAGGATGTCGGTCTCGATACTGGTTGTAACCAAGTCGTGGCGACAAACATCTGATGAATAACTACGTTGCCGGGCATTGTTTTGTCAGGATCTTCGATTACAATGTAGGGATGATACAAGGAAGTTAGCCAAAAGAGGATCAACCAGCTTCATGGAAACTTTACGTAAAGGCAGAGAATCAAGCATAAACTGGCTGAGGGAGGCATTGATTCTTGCTACTTGGAGTTCTCCCTAGATATACTATTTTCCAAGCCATAAAATTTATTTTGGGGCATGGCAACTAGACCCATCCACTGACTGAGTCACGACCACTTGAAGTCTCGGGTTCGAATCTATTAAATTTAATTCAAACTACTCATATAGATAAAAATTGTTATCAACTTCGGTACCGGAGCATTTTCGAAGACCTATCGCGAATGGCCTCCGGCAAGAACTTTGGTCGCCCAGGCCTCTTTAACACCAAAATGACATCAAAAGGTTTCTTGTTTCAAGAAATGCAAAATTATTTTAAGATTACATTATCATGAGTTTTGAACCAAAAGAAGAGTGTGATAAAACAAATAATTACATATGGATTCTTCATCAGTGTTTGGTTCTGTATTTTTTCTCTCTTAAGACCCTGTTGGAGGGCTTGAAGCTATGATGCCACAATAACCATGCAACCAATACGGCTTTTTAAATAAACATCCAAGTTTCGATCGAGCTCGGAACACCCCTTTGACTGTAAAGATCACTTGATTGTTCGCAATCTGGTTCCGAAACAGAATTGTTTCTTCCCTTGAAAGCTTAACCTGACTGGTTATCGTTTGAATATTTGCAAACTTGGTCTCACCTTTTGCAGCCGAGAAAGGTTCTATGTATTGAGTAGAAATCAGGGAATTCTCGAAGTAAAGACCAAGATACATGTGTCTGAAATCGATGTTAACCTTCTCGTTTGGATTTGTGAAGTTAGCCAGTAGACTACATCGGCATTGAGCAGGTAACCCAAGTCGAGAGAGGCTGCATTCAAGGTGACGCCATAGAGATCAAACAATGGACTATGTGGTCGATAGACGAGATAGACTATGAGAACGATTAGGCCTCCCAGTATCATGATCAGCAAAAGAATTACACAGATAATTGCCGCAGGCCATGCCATAGGGCTGGTTTGATGGTCCCTTGGGAGAAAAGGACTAGAGTGAGGATGATGATCTTGGGGATGCCTGCCGTGGCGCTGGTCACCTTCGGTGATTTCACGCTACGGTCTTATTAGTCTTGAAGCTGGGGTTGCAGCATTTCTTCTTTTGGGATCGGACCTTGAATCGATGAGGGTTGTGGTCATAATTGGGGGTGTCGATCCTCATTTTGTACTGGAGGCGGCACCCCAACATGTAATGGTGGTGATGTTGGCTTCCATGATGTGGCTCTGGCAGAGATGAACCGAGTGGATGAGGATGTTGGTCTTGATCTTCAGGACCCCTTAGCGGGGCACAGCGGTTGTGACAGCGTCGTGGCAGCAAGGAAGCAGGTAGATAATGGCGTTGCTCGGGTGTTGTACCATCAGGATCTTCAATAAAATGTGGGTTGGTTTCAACATGTCGATGAGTCATTCTGGTAATATGAATATATGACTAGAAATGAAGTAAAACAAAGCGATGAAGCAGGGTAATTAGTGGAAAACGATAAACTCCATGGGAACTTCATGTAAAGGCAAAGAATCAGACAAAAACTGAGGCAAGTAATCTTTGATGATTCCTTCTCTAGATGCCACGTAAAGGGAGGCTTTGATTCTTGCCACTTGGAACTTTGCCTGGATATACTGTTTGCAAAGCCATGACATTAGTTTTTGGGCATTGCAACAAGTCCTGTCCAAAGGTCAAGACCCATTTTGACCAGGCTTGGCCCATACGTCCGGATTTATTATTCATTTAAATATTAAAAATGTTTTTATAATTATATTCAAAGAAAATTTAAATAGTAATTTGGGCTGGCTGGAATTACTAAATGCTTCATCCAAGGTATGGCCGAGACAGGCCGTATAGGTAGCTCAGCCTCGGACAGATCTGATGCAACATTTTGTGTGCGTACATGTGCATGACTACATGATATGAGATGAAATGTAGCATTCTTTTCAGAAAAGGGTAATGATTAGATAAAAGAACTTACCATAAACGTGAAGCCTCCCTGCTTTTCCATTGCCCAAAGCAAAACTACAAATGGTCAATGTAGATTTGACAATGAGACAGATTCCAGCTGAAGAAAGAGGAGATGAAAAAACCAGGCAGGTTTTTTTTTTTTTATAAGAGTTGGAGGTCTCGTTAAAAACCCTTCATGCTTTTTAGAATACAGTCAAAGTATCCGAAAAGTAGCGGAAGGAGGAAAAGAGTATCTCGGATTTTATTACCACATGAAATCAATACAAGGATATCAAGTACAACATCATCAATCAAACTCTCCTAAACAAGAAGAATCCCTCCCTCAATCAATGGTCGGATAAGACCTCCCAATGATACACAACCCCCTGGAGAACAGACTTTTCTACCCTATCCCTTGTTTTGCTAATTCGTCTGCTTTCACATTTACACTCCTCCTAACACAACGAAGTACAAAAGCCCTTTCCTTGATGATAGATACAATGCCTTTTACCATCTCAGAGAAAGGAGGACATAAAAGAGGGTCTTTTATCCATTCTACTGCTATCTTACTGTCGCTCTCCACAATCATCCTGTTCTTCTTGCTAACATCCATATCCAAGAACATAGAGATGCCTTGTTTAATAGCTAATAACTCTGCCAGGATAGGAGGTCCTTGCCCAACAGCCTTTGAGAACGAAGCTAGGCAGAGCCCACTCTGATTTCGGAACAATCCACCAATGTCACCTCCTCTGCAAGAGTTCTTCGTAGCTCCGTCCATGTTTACCTTGATAAAACCAGGAGGTGGTGGCGACCATCTCTCAATCAACGTAGTTTGGCTAGCTGCTACTGACGTGTTGTCAGCCAGAGATGGGTTGCTGACCAGGCTGTCAAAAGGGATGGTTGGCGAAGGATGGCATTCCTTAAACCATGACACTAGTCGAAACTTTGTTAAGAATAATAACATCACAGCATCAATAGAGCGGTTCCGAAAGATTGTCTCATTCCTGGCTTTCCATATGGACCAAAACACAGCAAACGGAATGAACTTCCATATCACACTTGACTTGGCATTTGCTTCATTGTGCCAAGAAATTAGAAAATAAGAGATATTGCCTGGGAACACTATTGTAATTTCCCAATACCTTATGAACCGATTCCATACGTCCCTTGCCACCTTGCAACCTAAAAAGAGATGAAAAATTATCTCTGTTTCTTCCTTTACATAATGGGCATAAGGAATCCACTACTGCTCTGACAACTAGGCAGGGTTAGGTATATGCACGACATAAACATGATGTTTCTTAAAGTTTTTCCGTATATTTAAAAAGTCCCTAGAGTCGGATTCACGTACCCATGTCCAAATATGTTGGACAAAGGTATTTCAAAAGAAATTAAGAGTCGGATTACCCTATTGTCATTTGAATATCTGAATCATGAGGAGAAAGCATTTACTGGTTTCAGAGAGATGTAACATACAATATTAGGCTCACAGCTTCTGAAAGCACCCAGTCCAATTTCAAGCAATGGTAGAGTTTCCCCTGCAAAACACAAGCACAGAGAAGGATATTGAATGGTGAAATAAACATATAGATGAGAGTATGAACAGAGAAATCTGTACGATGGGATAGTTGTCACTTTTATTGATGATATAACCATGTTCTCATACTAGAAACTTGTTGATGATCTTCAAATGTAGGGACCTTCCCCCAATTGTATGGGCAACATACCATTTTTTCCTAGCAGCATTCTTAATTGTAAAAATGACTAAGTAGAATTTTCTTCTGCTAGTATATTAGTATACAGTTTGTCTATAAATATATTCAAGAAAGTGAATGGCTCAAACCTGAGATTTATTTTCTAAGCGGCAGCAGGAAGGGAAAACAGTGGCAAGAAGAGGATCATAAGAAGAGCTTAAACCCAACAATCCGTCCATATGGCTACTCAACGCCAATACCAAATCATTCACCTGAAAATGTGAAAAAAAAGACAATTTTGTTGCTAGAACTGAAGCAAGAGTCAACCAAACACTCATGCTCTGACAACCAGGGACATATAATTATTTCTAGAGAAGCAATAACCACCATTAAGCTGCTCTTAAATAAATCAGTTAACTAAACTTTCAAGCAAATGTGCAAGCACGAGATTAAATTTTTTTTTTGATAGAAAGCACGAGATTAAATTGACACACTTTACCATGCAATTGGAAATGATGTTGCAACCCAGCGACTTAATAATAAAATACCACATGATAATTCCATTGTAACAGTAGTGATCTAGATGTCAATTGGTATTCTACCTGCAATGCAAAATCTCAAGTTTTCTGGCTACTTTATATTAAGTCGTTTTAGAGTGTCCAGTATCTAATTCTTAAGTTTACAAAAGTGGTACAAAAAAAGGCTATGGTAGAATTGGAAACAGCTTCCAGCAGGATATCAAGAAATATGGAATTGCATTGCACTAGTAGTGTCAAAAAAAATCATTAATACCATGTGCTGCTCTCAAAGAAAATCAAAGTATTTCCATAACAATTGAAGAAGAAACCACCCAAAAGAAACATGGATGTAAGTAATGGAATTTGAAATGCAAAATATTACCAAGTTCATGCAGAGTCTGTTGAATGGATAGCATGGATCAGTGTCTCAGAGACAGATCCATCAAGAGTAAAACCCTTCTCCATCATTTGATCCCATACTTTGCAAGCCATAGAGAGATTCTTTTCCCTTATGAGCCCTCCAATTATCAATTTGTATGTCGTTTCATCTGGAGGGAATCCTTTAGTTTGCATTTCCTCATATAGACGTAAAGCTTCAGTTACTCTGTTAGACTTGCAAAACCCATTTATGAGGGCATTGTATGAAATCACATCAGGGTTAACTCCCTGCATTATCATGTCATCAAAAATACCACAAGCCCTTTCAACTTTTCCACTTTTGCATAGGTGGTCAATAATTGTAGTATAAAAAATACGATCGGGCAACAGACGCATCCTTGACATGTAATCAATAAGTTCTTGAGCTGCACCAAAACTACCTTCATTAAGAAAAGCCTTTATAAGAGTCGTCAATGTCGCCACATCAGGTGCGATCCCCTTCCTACTCATTTCCTCAAAAAGCTTGTAAGCTTTTCTAGTATGACCACCCTTGCAAAATGCTTTGATAATGGTATTATAAGAAACAGCATCAGCCAACCCATTCGCCTCCATCTTGTTCACCATCAATAAGTATGCTTTATTCAGCCTATTAGCATTACAAAAACCCTTAATCATCTGGTTATAACTATACACATCAGGTCCTATCCCGCTCCTCTCCATTTTCCTCATCAACTTCTCCGCCTCCTCCAACATAAGCTCATTACAACAATAATTCAATAAAACATTATAGGTAACCAAATCCGGTTCACACCCATTATTCGTCATAAACAGCTTTATCGCCTGTGCCTTATCGATTCTCTTCATTCTACAGAACCCATTAATTAGAGCATTGTAGATCAATGAACTAAACTTGATATCTCCACCTTTAATCACCTCAATAACAAGCTCATACGCCATATCAACCTTTCCACCTTCACACAACGAAATGACAACCGCACAACATGCTTTATTATCCGGTTTAATGCCTTTTCCAACCATTTCCCTCCAAAAACGAATAGCATTATCGAGCTTCCCCGCTTTGCACATCCCTTCGATGATTATCGTATACGTTACAACATCCAGGTCTCTCCCTTTCTTTTCCATGCTATAAAAAACATCTAAAGCTAACTCTACCTTGTTCTCTCTACACAGAAGATTCAAATAGATGTTAAAAGCCCACATATCAGGAACGTAATTCAATCTATCCATGTCATCCAAAAGAAGCTGAATCAGATTCAAGTTCTTCACGGAGCACAAACCGGAGATAAAGCGAGAGTAAGTAAAGGGAGTTAAAGAGAAACCCTGAGGGAGCATTTGGAAGTAGTAGTGTTCGGCTAAGTCGAAACGGGAATGACGAATGAGGACGCCGATGAAGCGGTTATAGTCGATGCCGAAGACCCGGCAATCTGATCGAGTCATTTCGTCGAACAGGTTGATGGCTTGGTCGATGAGGCCGGTTTTCACGAGCCTCGAGATGTGGGCACGGTATATTAGGCGAGGCGTGCCCAGAACGTGATACATATCAGACTCAAATGCATATCAGATGAAGCTGAATGGGTTACAAACCGATCAGAATCGACATGAGAGGACCATTGGCTTTAATAAAAATATAAGAAACCAAAGAGTTCGGCTGGAGAGGAGTGTGTAAAGAGAGAAGCTGTTTTCAGGTGTAGGGGTAAATGGGCTTTGACGATTTTGGAGGCCCAATGAGTTGTTTGGGTAAATTATGCAGTTAGTACATAAACTATTAGTTTTATTCATTGTAGTATTTAAACTTTCAATTTTTCAAAATCATACCTAATGTTTAGTTTTCATTTCATTTTAATACTCTGTTCAAAATTTAACGTTTAATTAAAAAAAATTATGTAGATATGTAAGGTTTAACTTTGAAGTACCCGAAAATTATCATCGTTGAGACGAACAATATTTTAGACATCTCATATAAAGATTCATGTTCATGAATATATGACTTAAGTGATGCTTATTATTATTATTATTACTATTAATATGTGGTTAGTATAAGACAATATATGACTTAAGTGATGCTTATTATTATTACTACTATTCATGTTCATGGATGCTCACAACCTTGACATTCCTAGTGTTGAAACTCGAGATCTCAAGAAGTAACAACAATTCCTTTACCACCGAGGTCGCTTTGTTAATGCCTCAGGTGATGCTTGATTACTAGAAAATGGTCATCAACATACTACATTCTTTTAGTTGCATTTCTTTTCTAAATTTTTAAACTTTTTGTTTGGATTGTGATGTTTAAATTTTTAAGCTTTAATGTTTGTTTATGTATATTTTTTATTAATCTAAGGTGATTATAAGTGGTAGTATCTGTTCTAAAGACTCAATCATTTGACAATAAAAGCTCAAATACTCTGCAGTCGCTGATATTCAAATCTAATATCTTTAAGGATATTAACCATCCCTTTATTTACAAATATGGCTTGATCCATGTGTTTCTCAAATTTTTATGGATTCCTTGTGACCTTGCCCGGTTATTCAAGTAAGGTATATGATCTTTGTGGATAGATACATCGGTTACTTTTTACGTTGTATTTTTTAAGCAAAATCAAATGTTTAAATTTTGACGTTGAAAATAAAAAAAATAAGAATAAAAAGATTATCTTATAAGAGGTTATATAATATTTGATCTAAATTAATTAGTCAACGACTCAAGCTATCGAGCTCATTTGATTTCTTTTAGAGAGAAATTGTAAGTTTGTATTTCATTATCAGCCACTAATTATAATTAATTAACTTGATAGAATTAAACTAACTGAATTTTAAGATACTATCTTTTGTTGATTGAGTTAATTCGAGATTGGATGATTAGCAAAAATATGTATTATTAACTAAGTTTAATTTTAGTTTAAGTATGTTAAAGGCCAGTATAATTATAGAATTTAATTAGTTTTTATATTTTATTTTTATGAAATTGAACTTTTGTATTATTTTTAAGGAAAACTGTGTGTTTAGTACCTAAACTATCAGTTTTGATCCGTTTTAGTATCTAAACTTTCAAATATGTTAAAATCAAACATAACGTTTAGTTTTTTTTGTTTCATTTTCGAACCCTTGTTAAAAACTTAACATTAAGTTTTGAAAAAAAATAAAAGTTTAGGTACTAAAATGGACAAAAACTACTAAACGTGTTAAGTTTTCAACGACGGGTACTAAAATGAAATAAAAACTAAATTTTAGGTATGATTTTAAAAAAATAAAAGTTTAGGTATTAAAACGAACTACAACCGATAGTTTAAATATTAAGCACACACATAATCTACCCTGTTTTTTATTTAAAAATCTCGACCTTTCTCTGATTTATGTTGAAATTTACAATTAATTGTTGATTAAGCAAATGTAAATAAGTAAAATAGCTTTTTTAAACTTATACATTTATAATTTTTTTTTTATCAATTTGACTCTTAAAATTTATCAATAAATAATATATTATTATTATTTGACTAATATATTTTTTATTCATTTTAAACCATATATAGTTTATCTTTTATATAATTATCAGGTCAACAATTAAATGTAAAATTAGATAAATTTCATGAGAAGACTAAAATAAAAAAGGATAGATTGTACGTTTAGTACCTAAACTATCAATTTCAGTACGTTTTAGTATCTAAACTTTCAATTTTTTAAAATCATACCTAAAATTTAGTTTTATTTCATTTTAGTACCCCGTCATTAAAAACTTTAGTTTTTGTTTCATTTTAGTACATCGTTCAAAATTTAACGTTAAGTTTTAAAAAATTGAAAGTTTAGGTATTAAAATGGACAAAAACTGATAGTTTAGGTACTAAAGGTGCTAAGTTTTTAATGATGGGTACGATGACAGAACTTTGTGATAGAATTTGGAGAACTTAAAACTTAAAAAAAAAATCAGAGGTTTAAATTAAACTTTGTAAAATTGAGGAATTTAGTTTACATTTTTAAAAAAAGTAGGGTCTAACAAAAATTGTTGAAATTTTGATAAGCTTAATGAGAATTTTTAAAATTTATGGGAGGAGATTTAATTAAGAATATTAAAAAAAGTAAATTTAATCTGAATTTTTAAAATTTTTAAGAGGGAAAATTATTTTTTTTTGGAAAATTTTAAGGGTACAAATTATAATATTTTTAAATTTTAGGGAGGATGGCCCCCACTAGCCTCTCTTTAGTTTCGTCACTTGATGGGTATTAAAATGAAATGAAAATTAAACATTAGATATGATTTTGAAAAAAAATTAAAAGTTTATGTACTAAAGTAGACTAAAACTGATAGTTTAAATACTAAATTTGTAGTTTACCGTAAAAAAATATTTATGGCTTAATTTCGTTAAAATAAAATATAAGGATAAAAGTTTAATTTTGAAATAATACATGGACATTTGGTATATTTAAACCTTTAATTTTCAATAAGAAATAAACAGACAAAAACACCCTTGCTAAAGGGTGCAATTTTCAGCCATGTTAAGTTGTTGAAATATATGACTTTGAAAGGTCTTCATTATGCAGTCGCTTACCATAATCACCGTTCACCGGGACCGCCATCACTAGCCGCTAAAACCGAGTCGAAGAAGCGTAAGCCGAGCTCTCTGAAGCTGGATTACAGTCCGAAGCGAGCCATGGTTGAGCTGAGGCACTCGGGCAGCTCGCTCGGGAGCCGAGCCTCTTCTTCTCCGATGAAACGCGACGAGGACGCTTCTCCTCTAATCCACGATCACATCCCTCAAGATGTCGAAGATGAATATGATCATCCTCGCCATGCTTCACGAGACCGTGACCGTTCGTTTTTATTTCAAATTCACTCGTTTTTCCCTTTCGGTAATGATGATCCTAGGTTTTCTCAACACTCCTCAAGGATCTCGCTTTTCTTGCTCCTTCTCATAGCCGTTTCTGGTTTGATCTCCGTTTACTCGATCTTACAGCGATTAGTAAGGAACTGGTTCACTTTGTTTTCAAATAGTTGAAATTACTCGTCAATTCATTTTTCTATGTCTGGTTTTAGTTTCTAAAGTATTATTGTTGTAATTTTGTTAAATATCATTATTGATAGAGTGAACTAGCTTGTTTAAGTAGAAGTAGTAAAGTTTAGCTTATTTTTATGGGAATTGTGAGGCCAGCCTTTTTTTTGGATTTGGTTTTTGTGTCACTAATTTTAATTTTTCTGTCAATCTATTTGTAGACTTCCCCGTATTTATGTAAAAAAGATGGAATTGTTCTTCGCTGTCCGCATGTAAGTTTCTGATGGATCTTGTTCTAGTTGTGGTTGTTTCTCTTACTTGTTGTAACAGTGGCCCGAGCTATTTGTAAATTGTGTTTCTTGGGTTTTAGGTTAAGGAGAATGCTTCACTTTGGGAGAATCCTATATCTGCAACTACTTCTTGGAAACCTTGTGCTGAGCGCCATGATGGTGGAATGTCGGGTATCTATGGCTTCCTTTATTAGTAATGTGTTTTTTGGTATCACCCATATTTTGTTAAATGCTTTTGAGGAATGTTTGATAGTTTGAATTGTGTGTGCTAACTTTTGTTATGGGTTGGAGAAAAGCACTTTGGCCAACAATTTAGATATATAGCCGCAGCATAGAAGTCCATGGTTATAGATTTTGGTCATAGAGACCTAGTTCACTCGAACATTTTTCAGGCGTGTCAAGTTGTTTCATTTCTTGTTCATGTTAGCACAACTTAGTTTATTGACTCTTTAACTAATCTGCAGATCTTCCTCGTGAGAATGAAACAAGTGGTTATATTTTTATTCATGCTGAGGGTGGTCTAAACCAGCAAAGAATTGCGGTATATATTCTTGTCTTCTTTTTGTAACCTGATTGAGTTGAGTTATCATTTTTCAAATATATCTTATGGAGTTGGTAGGAGGTTGTAAGTCCTTTTTGAACTATAAAATTACTGATGCTTTTATTTGGTGTAACTGACTTGAAGTTAAAGATCATGTCTCACCTTACATTTTCAGAGTGTTATGATGTTGTCATGCTGATGGCTGTAACATCAAAACCTATGATTATAGACACTAAAATTCTATTATTTTATTGATTTTTCTTGCCTTTTGTATCCTGTGGACTTCTTTTGGAGTTAAATTCTTAAAATATGTAATTAAATAAAGAGCAAAGATGATTACAAGTAACCCCCCGCCTAAAATGAGAATCTATAGAAAAAATTATTTCTAAAAGTTCTTTTGCTGTTTGGTCTATCATGATTTATTTATCTTATTTTTGGTTCTATTCTTGTTTGATGATTTCTCAGCACCTTTTAGATTTTCTTAAATATAACTTCGCTGAATGATTTCCGAAAATATTAGTGATCCGGTATCTTCAATGGCGAGCAACAAACTTATGAACTTATTGTGTATTCAATGCAGATATGCAACGCAGTGGCTGTGGCCAAAATTATGAACGCAACACTTATCCTGCCAGTGTTGAAACAGGACCAGATATGGAAAGATAAAACGTGTGATTTCTTGTTCAATAACCTCATGTGCTATTGGCCTTGCGCACATAATTGTTGTAACCTTTGTAATAAATTGTCTTATATGCATAGAAGAAATGAAGTAGAAAGAAAGTAGATTAAACTAGAGCTCCCAACTTAATACATATCCTATTGTAAAATCATTTGCAGGAAATTTGAAGACATTTTTGATGTTGATCATTTCATTGACTACTTGAAGGATGATGTGCGAATTGTCCGTTATATACCTGAGTGGTTTACTGACAAATCAGAATTGTTTACAAGTATAAGGTGATTTTTACAAGGTTCTTTGTTTTGTCTCCATGCTGGATTTGCTTGTATGATTGGCCAGATTTGAACTGCCAATTTAGAATCTGTTTGCTTTTATGGATTTGCTTCAATCGTGTCAGCATTGAGAATTTCCTCAACCTTTTGATTGTGAAATTAGTTATTGACATGAAGCGCTTGTAGACATAAAGCTAGAGGTAGGAAATGTGGGTCCTCTATGGGACTTTGAATGATTGACTTCTTTCATAATGAACTTTAATAGACAACACAATAGAATTTTCATTTCATTTTTTATATTAACTAATAGAGTGTGTTTATCTTTGGCTTTATTTAATTTTGGAAAAAATGGTAACTTCTTGGCCTTTTCTGGTTTTCTTCGAAAAGAAAATGTTAAAATAGTATATTGCTCATGTCCTTGTTCATATTGTTCACTGTAGACCCTCATCCTGCTAAATGTATGTCATATGTGGGTTGGAACTTGTAGCCAGTCAATCATAGGTTTATTGATGTCTCTGCACTTCAAACTTGATATGACAATCTGAGGATATATAAGGCATGTCTTATACAGATTTATTCCAACCTTCTACAATATAAATTCTATTCACCTGTAGAGGTTTTGTGATGTGTTATAGACGCACTGTGAAGAACATTCCAAAGTATGCACCAGCTCAATTTTATATTGACAATGTGCTGCCTCGGGTCAAAGAGAAGAAAATAATGGCCCTAAAACCGTTTGTTGATAGACTTGGGTAAGTCATGGATGTCATGTATCTGCCCGTGACAACTACTTTCAAAAATATATTTTCAGATAAGAAACATGGGATCATCTATTTATCCCTTTGTATTTCCTTTCCAATTTCTCTTGGATAATGTTCAGGTATGATAATGTCCCTCCAGAAATCAACAGGTTAAGATGTAGAGTCAATATCATGCTCTTAAATTTCTTCCCGAAATTGAGCAAATGTCAGATTTATTGGTCACCAGGATGAGGAACCGCACAGGAAGTCCAAATCCTTACATGTATGCAGCATTTCATTTATGACTATTGATATGCTGATTTGCTGCTATGTTGAATCCAAATTAACCAAAAGCTCGTTTCGTTCAGGGCTTTACATCTTAGGTTTGAGAAAGGGATGGTGGGCCTATCATTCTGTGATTTTGTTGGGACTAGGGAGGAGAAAGCTAAAATGGCAGAATACAGAAAAAAAGAATGGCCTCGACGTTATAAGGTGATCCATAACAACTTACATAATCAGCTTGTTTGATTGGTAAGAGTCAAAATTTGGCCCCGGATTATTTCTTATCTTTGTAGTAACTGGCTGGGCAGAATGGATCCCATCTATGGCAGCTCGCATTGCAGAAGCGGAAGGAGGGTCGTTGTCCTCTTGAACCTGGGGAAGTTGCTGTAATTCTTCGGGCAATGGGATATCCAAGGAGACTCAAATTTATGTTGCTTCTGGTCAGGTTTATGGTGGTCAGAACCGGATGGCACCCTTAAGGAACATGTTTCCAAATCTGGTACATGCTTTTTTAATCTTTTCTAAAAATGAATCCTACAAAATCTCATTGTCCAGAACCACTTCTCCGTATTCTACTAAAAAAGTAGCAGGCAGCCTTTAAATTGTAACATTTGCTTATGTTACTTAACAAACCGGGATTATCTCAGAGACTCAGACCCTGCAATGCGATTAGTTCGACTTGATGCTTACAAAATTGATTGTCATGTGCTGTTCTCTTTTCAAGGAAAAATAAATGTTGCTTGGTAAAGATGCTCATCATAAGGCTTGAATAACAGGTTACCAAGGAAGAGTTAGCGAGTAAGGAGGAGTTGGCGGTTTTCCGGAAGCATGTAACAAGCTTAGCTGCACTTGACTTCCTGGTCTGTCTTAAATCTGACGTGTTCGTAATGACCCATGGAGGTAACTTTGCTAAATTGATTATTGGGGCTAGAAGGTACATGGGTCATCGTCAAAAATCAATAAAACCAGACAAAGGACTTATGTCTAAATCTTTTGGGGATCCTTACATGGGATGGGCATCTTTTGTAGAAGATGTAGTCGTCACCCACCAAACCCGAACCGGATTGCCGGAAGAGACCTTCCCTAACTACGACCTTTGGGAAAATCCCCTATCTCCTTGTATGTGTAAAGCATGATAGCCACTTTTTCTTCTTCTCATAATTTGATGATTCTTGTCGAGCTTCATCGAAACTGCATCATATCTGTGCATTTAACAAATGAAGATTCTTTTTTTCGAAAGCTATAAGGGAGGGAAAAAGGCCGAGTGCCAAACCAACCAATAAATGTTCGTAGCCAGGAAAAAGTACTGGACAGGGTATTGTCCAATCGTTGGGGGACTCGGAATTGACATCATGAGGACTGCCTATGATGGGTCCAACCTGCAGCACTAGCGATTTTGTCTCCGAAAACAACAGGTAATTTAACCGAGTCTGTCTCTTTGTTATTATTTTAGCATGGTACATTTGTCAAAGACGGTAGAATATTTTGTAATCTTCGAGTACCAGGACGGCATCGCATAAAATATTAGTGAAATTTAGAAAAAGAAAGCATTGCCCCCTGATCTTATATTAATTAGAATGCTATGACATTTGCTTATAATGTTTAAGCATAAATTTTGCCTCCGCCGTGTTGGAAGTGTCAGTCACCATCTTTCCTTCGGCGTCTCGTCCTGTATCCTGGCAGCCTAATTTTGAAATTTGGGATATGAAGCTCTTTACATTTATAAATCTACATCACCATCAGTTCGCTTACTACCATCGCCAGTTTGTTTAACACCACCGCCAGTTCTCTATACACCTCCATATGCCTACAAGTCTCCACCAATCTATTCGCCACCCCTTTTTTACATCCATAAGTCTCCATCACTACCAATCAACTATGTACCTTCCCATATATCTACAAGTCACTTTCACCACCAATTCATTCACCATACCCATATCTCATTTACAGGTCTCCGCCATCACCAATGGCTACCTCTTTAGCCATCGGTTGATTCACCGTTCTCGCCTTACATTTACAAGTCTCCACCACCACCAAATCCCCTGCCATATTCCAGTCACCACCCTCACCCTACATTTACAAGTCCTCACCACCAATCCACTCCTTATCTCCGCTCTCTGTCTAAAATCCCCGCCATTACTAGTTCAAACCTAAATCCCAATTAATTAAGTAACCCACCAACCTATTAATCCAAAAATCACTAATTCCAATTTCAACCTGCCTAACCCAAGTTAGTTTGGTTAACGAACTAAACAACATAAGTTATGTTAATTTTTTAACTATTCAATTCTATCATATAGATTATAATGGATTATGATCACTTGAGCCGATTTGATTTTACAAAATCAATTAACTCAATAGTTTTAACCATTTGTTTCCATATCTAAAACTTCGATTTAATATTACTCTGCTCGTCATTTTGTCGGGGGTATGGATGGCTGTCCATTGTAGCACATTTTTTGGGCTTTTATAAATAAAATTACGAATTATATAAGTTAATAACAAATATTCGATTATAAATAAAAAATTAACACAATTTACGTGAATTTTTGAATGAAAAAAATGCGATCAAAGCTAAAAGAATTCATTAGGAACCAAGTAATATTAGAAAAGAAATATAAAAAGAGACACTGATCATAAAATCCTTATGTATATGAATCATATATATTTTAATTTTCTCTTAATTTAATTTTCATGAAACATATTATTCCATAAATTTTTCGAATCAGATCAAATAAAATTTAATAGTAATTCCTTACAAATACAGTACGAAACACACATTATAACATTATTACTTTTAGAAATCAAGGTATGAGAACATACCTCAAGATCTACGTTATACGGACTAATAACATAAAAAAATTGTAAGATAAATTATGCTTTTATTACCTAAATTATAGTTTTAATCCGTTTAGTATTAAATTTTTTATTTTTTTAAAAAAATCATACTAACATTATTTTCATTTCATTTTAGTACCAATCGTTAAAAATTTAACGCATTTAGTACTTAAACTATTAATTTTGATCTACTTTAGTATCAAAATTTTCATTTTTTTTTCAAAATTCAACGTTATATTTTAAATGAGATACTAAAATGAAATAAAAACTAAAGTTTTTAATGACATGATACTAAAATAAAAACAAAAAACTAAACTTTATGTATGATTTTAAAAAAAATTAAAAGCTTAGATACTAAAACAAAAAAAAAATTAATAATTTAAGTACTAAACGTCTACTTTAACCCAAAATTTATACAAGTGCAAAATCTCTCGAACACGATCATAACACAACAAAATATACAAGAACGAGATGAGTTTTAAGCAGAAAAGTTACCAACAGCTGTGGAAAAGAGGGAATTTAGGAAGATTAAATTTCCCCATCCCACAGTTCTTCCAGGGACTTGAAGGGTCCATTGGGTGATACCATCTCAGGCTTAGGCATTAATCTGTGCTGCTTATTCCACTGATCCGCTTATAGTCGTCTGACGATAATTCCCAGTCAAAGATCCGCAGGTTCTCCCTCATCCTTTCTCTGTTGAAGCTCTTGACCACAAAAGTTAACCCTTGCTCAAATGCCCATCTTAAACAAACCTGTCAGTTTTCCAAAAAGGAGAATTGACAGTATTTTAGTCCATATATACCATGTGGAATCCACAGTAGGGATGGTTAAGCAACAGATCGGATAGATGACTTCTTTACCGTAACTCCAGAAAAAAAAGGAGTGCAAAATGTTAGTAGGTTTGTTGTTGTAAAACAGGGATTATGAGCTTACTACAATGAAGTTTCTGGGATTATGAAGGCAACTTCAAGAAAAGATTGGTCACGACTCGAATCAGAGAAAGACACATGATTTTTTCTATGTCAGAAAATATGAACTTGAAAATTTCTATAATAAATTCAGAGTGCGAAATTATAAAATTGGAAGGTACGAAATTAGATCATCAACAGAAAATATAAAAAAAATACTTGAACTATATAGAGGTATGAAATTTTTAGGATGTACTATCACATCCCTAGTAACCCTCGATCCATCCCCACTCAAATGCATCGAATTGGTATGTTTCGTTTTTCATCTATGAAAAACTAACAAATAAGGGTTAAAAGGGAAGGTTATTCTCCCAGTACCGGATTCGATTAGCTGCGTCATCATTATCAATAGGTTAAGAAAATTCTGAATAATATTATCTCGTAATCACCTAAACTATTAAAAAAAAAGGGTAAAATACACAAATGATCTCCTGACTTTAGGTTATTGTTGACTAGGGTATTACTTTATTAAGTCATCGACTATTAAAACTTACAAAATTATCATTCGACTATAGAATATTGCTTTGTTAAGTCTCTCGACTATTAAAGTTACAAAATGAGACCCAACTATTTTTATGTTCCAAACTCGTCATTTTCCATTAAAAATCGATAGTAGTTTAAGTTGGACTTTAACATGATGACTAGGATATAATAATCGTTTGAAATTCTAGGATCAAATTTTCTCATATCATAGTCAACAAGTTTGGAACATAATGAATAGTCGGTTGATCATTTGTAACTTTTAACAGTCGATAAAGTCAACAAAGCAACACTCTATAATAGAAGGATAATTTTAAAACTTTTAATAGTTGAGACTTAATAAAACAATACTCTATAATCGAAGGTTATTTGTGTACTTTACCCTGAAAAAATAAAATCAGCAACTGCAGAAGGTAGCTGAAAAGAAGAAATTAGAACCTGGGCAACAGTCCTGTTATGAGCTTTAGCAATTTCCTTGAGTGTTTCATTATCCATAACTTCGTGGGTTCCCCATCGAGTCCCTTTGGCTCCCAAGGGAGAGTAAGCAGTTACAACAACACCTTTAGATTTGCACAACTCTCTTAGCTTCTGTTGTTGCCATAGAGGGCTAATCTCCACCTGAAAAAACAACATATTCTCTCCATTTACAATCCACTCGCTTGCTTATATTGCAAATCAAACGCGTTAGTGCCTAAAGTGTTAGTTTTTGTCCGTTTTAATACCCAAACTTTCAATTTTTTCAAACTTATCGTTAAATTTTGAACGATGATACTAAAATGAAACAAAAACTAAAGTTTTAACGGCGAGATACTAAAATGAAACAAAACTAAACTTTAAGTATGATTTAAAAAAATTGAAAGTTTAATATTAAAACGGATCAAAATTAATAGTTTAGGGATTAAACATGTAATTTACCCTAATAATAAAAATACGAGAAAATCGAGTCAAAAATCAAAGTTTCATATATACAACTACTGCAAATCAAAGCACTCAAGGCACATTCTACATCCAAACCAATCAACTTCAGGTGTAATTCTAAATTTATCCGAAAACAGTGAAGTAAGAGGAGGGAGTAAGAGAGTTTACTTGATTGACTGACGGTGGAATGGTAGCAAAAGAGAGTATGCTTTCAAGCTTTTTGCATGAAAAATTACTGACTCCAATACACTTTGTGAGGCCTAATCTCTGGCAATCTTCCATGGCTGTCCACACCGAGTTGAAATCCATAGGTAGTTGTTCGTCTTTGGGCACAGGGAATCCAATTTCTCCAGTTTTAGCACTTAGAGGCCAGTGAATGAGATAAAGGTCCAGGTATTCTAACCCAAGCACCCTGTATGACCATTAAAGTTGACAAATAAATCGAGAAAATGGAATAAAAATTTGGTATTTGTTCGAATAATGCAATGTATTCTAGGATAAATTACGTGTTTAGTACTTAAACTATCACTTTTGGTCTGTTTCAATAACTAAATTTTCATTTTTTCAAAATCATAAAGTTTACTTCTTGTTTCATTTTAATACCCCATTCAAAATTTAACGTTACGTTTTAAAAAAAAGTTGAAGCGGTACTAAAACATACCAAAACCGATATAGTTAGGTACTAAACGAGTTAAGTCTTGTACGGCGGGTTTAAATAAAATGAAAACTAAACATTGTATGATTTGGGGAAAATTAACAATTTAAGTACTGAAATAGACCAAAAATGATAATTTAGGTACTAAATGCCATAGTTTACCCTGTATTCTATTCCATTTTCGGTTTGTAAGTTAGAAATAATAATTATTCAAACTAAACCAAATTCTTTTTTATATTTTATTTAAGAGTGATAATTATTTAAACTAAACCAAATTCTATTTTATAGTTTCTAAACAAATATTTTATTTCTAGCTATGGATTTTAAAAGAATACTATATAAAATGATTTTTTATTTTAGAAAATTAATGGGCCA